AGAAAAAAAATACATGAATAAAAAGTTATAGTGCAGTTTAAGATATGAACAGTTCACACAGAAGTTCCACTTTACTGATGCCCTCCTTTAAGGTTTCTCCGAACATGAGCTGTGTACGCTTGTATGGCACATACGTCCCGAGCAGCATACACAGAGAAAACCAGCCAGGACAAAGTCCCCAGACACTGATTCCCTGGTGTTACTAGCCCCAAATGTTCATTAACCAAAAACGAAACACAACCGCTCAGTTTCAATTAAAAGCAACGGCAAAAAGAAAAGTCTTCAGCCTGGATTTAAAAGTAGTAAGAGTTGCAGCGGACCGGCAGGTTTCTGGGAGTTTGTTCCAGATATTTGGAGCATAATAACTGAACGCTGCTTTACCATGTTTAGTTCTGACTCTGGGGACAGAAAGCTGACCAGTCCCTGAAGACCTGAGAGATCTGGATGGTTAATAATTTAGCAGTAGATCAGAAATGTATTTTGGGCCTAAACCATTCAATGCTTTATACTGTAAACCAGCAGCAGTATTTTGAAATCTATTCTTTGACACACAGGAAGCCAGTGTAAAGACTTCAGAACAGGAGTGATGTGATCCACTTTCTTAGTGTTAATGAGGAGTCGAGCAGCAGCGTTCTGAATCAGCTGCAGCTTTCTAATAGATTTTTTTGTGAGACCTGTAAAGACACCATTACAGTAGTCGAGTCCAGTGGCGTCGCCTGGCCTGGGCATCCGGGGCTTTAGCCCCGAATGTTTTTTCTGTAGCCCCGGACAATTCTCCCTCAATAATATAATACATTAACCGTGCTTTACGTGAACCTCATCATGACACAAGAGAGGACGGCAGCACTGTAATTTCCTGTGTTCAGTGAATGCAACAGAGGCATGACACCAGACCAATCAGAGAGTTGCATGGAAATAAACGTGTGCTTGTGTCATTCAAGCTGGGCTCTGTGTGTGTGTGGCAATAGCGCATTTAGTGTGAGAGAGAGAGAGAGAGAGAGGGGGAGAGAGAGGGAGAGAAGGGGAGGGAGGGACCGGTCCCAGCAGGGACCGTGTTGTTAGCATCTGGTTAGCTAGCTGCACTAACGGACATAAGGAGCTGTTTGTTCCACAACAAGCTGGAGGAGAGTCCTCTCCTCTCAGACTGAGAGACTCAGGTGAGCTAAAGGACTCTCTGAGTGTTTAGATACTTAACTTTAGTCTAAGTTTTTCAGTGGGTCTCAAACAGTTTGGTCACAAATTATTCAAAAGATTATTTCCGCGACACACCTCCATATGATCATTATAGTTATAAAGAAAATAAGAGAATAAAGGAAAAACAGTTATGAAATACTATATGGCAGTAAAACAAGAATAGAGTTTAAAAGGGGAGTGATTAGTAAAATATCCATAAAGAAAAAGTACATCTGTTTACAGTTCTGCTTCATATGGGTGTTGAGAGAGGTATCCATAGATCTCTTCATTTTGCTCTCAAAGTGCACCAGATTGATGCATTTAACTTCAATATTTAAAAAAAAATCTTCCCCGGGGGAGCATCCCCCCGGACCCCCCTAGAGGAGGCCACTTTACCCCTGCCTATATGCCGTGAGCTGATTATCGAGCCTTCATTGTAACAGTCGCGGGTGTATTGTGTGTGTGCGTGTGGGGAGTGTTGCAGTAAAAAATGCCACTGTAGTGCCGCCGCCACTGTGGGCTAAGCCCCGAATGTTTTCAGGTCCAGGCGACGCCCCTGGTCGAGTCTACTGAAGATAAAAGCATGGACTAGTTTTTCCAAATCCTGCTGTGAAATTAGTCTTTTAATCCTAGATATGTTCTTTAGGTGATAGTAGGCTGATTTAGTAACTGTATTAATGTGACTGTTGAAACTCAGGTCAGAGTCCATGACTACACCTAGGTTTCTGGCTTTATCTGTTGTTTTGAACATTGCAGACGCAGAACATGCTCAGAACATGCACATTGCAGAACATGCTCAGCGCTAACTTTTATACGCTCTGCCTTGGCTCCAAAAACCATTACCTCAGTTTTAACTTTGTTTAATTGGAGAAAGTTCCGACACATCCAGTCATTGATTTGTTCAATGCACTTACTCAGTGTTTGAATTGGAGCATAGTCTCCTGGTGAAGTGGTTATGTACATTTGGGTGTCATCCGCATAGCTATGGTAACTTATTTTGTTGTTTTTCATTATCTGAGCCAGTGGTAGCATGTAGATGTTAAAGAGAAGAGGCCCCAAGATGGAGCCTTGAGGTACCCCACATGTCATATTTGTCAACTCAGATTTGTATTTACCTATAGAAACAAAGTTTTTTCTGTCCTTTAAGTAGGATTCAAACCAATTTAGAACTGTTGATGAAAGTCCCACCCAGTTTTCCAGTCGGTCTAGTAATATGTTGTGGTCAACAGTATCAAACGCAGCGCTGAGATCTAATAAAACTAACACTGAAGTTCTGCCACTGTATGATTAAAAGCAACACGATCATCGACCCGACAGAGTCCCCCATTGTTGTAGTAGTGAACGCCGTTGGGGAGAAAATCAGCAACGTAAACGGTGACGTCAAGACGCAGCAGCGGCAGCACCAGTCGGGCTCAGGGCGGTGTGAACAAAACGGGGGCTGAAAAGAAAAACCGGTTCCGAACCAGAAAAGCTGAAACGGGAACCGCGTTGGGAACGGGAACCGCGTTGGTGTGAAATCCCCATTAGAGACAATAGTGACAGTTTTGTTAAGTTTGTTTCTGTTAATAAATTAAAGTATAAAGTTTGCATATTTTAAATTGAAGTTAAAATAAATCTAAATGCTAAACATGACATTGACAATGTGTTCTGCTTTCATGAAACATTTTCTTATCCACTTTTGTTAAAATTGCATATCATTACTATAGTTTTCATTTGTTCAACATTTTAATTGTTTCATTAAGTAAGAGTTGAACCTATGTGACCTCCTTCTCACTCAAAGAAAGGAAAGGGGATTACACCTGATGAAGAGAGGGAGGAGGGAAGAGACTATAAAAGATGATGAGTGAAGAGAAACGGGAGAGCTTGCGGGGAAATGTTTTAGGCTTGATTTTGGGTCTTGGCTCTTGGGCCTTGGGCCTGGGCTTGGGCTCTTTTGGACGGCTCTAGGGGGTTCACTTGGGAACCTATTGCTTTTGTACTTTGACCTTGTGTCCTTGTCAAACGTTTGTATCTATCTTTTGTTATTTTTTGGATCTTGTAAATCCTCTATTTTTGTTAAAATACCTAATAAAACCGGTTTGTACTTTGTACGTTTCTCCTCCAGGGGCAGTTTAGATACTGCTCTGGGGTCTTGCCAGGCCACCAACACCTACTGCACTACACTCTCTGTTTTGCTATCCTGGCGGTCGGACATCCAACGCTTTAGTGCTGAAATAAGTGATACGACGGGCAGCTGGTGTTAGAGGCCACGCTGTTAGCTGCCCCCCTAAGCATATTACGGTGATCTTGCGTTTATATTGTGGGGGGTTTAGTCCTAAAGGTAGGACAGCCGTTTTCCGGAGCCTTATCAGCATCGGAGCTCGGTATCAGAGACGACCTAGATATTAACATTGGTTGTATCGAAGTTAGATTCCTTTTCAACATATACAACTTAAAATAAATTACTATTCCTACAGCTATAAGGTACCCCTTAAGGCAAGACATTATCACTCCACTATTGTGTTATGATAAGTGAAATCAATCATAAAATTATGTATTCTCACATTACTTGTTGCATTTATTACATTTTAAATTGAACAGCCAAGTTCTAAGCTTTTGTTTGGTGTTCAGGTAAGTCTACTCAACTTTAACTAGCCTCAGGCCCAGTACAATAAATGCATGACACACATAAGACTTTATATAGGAAGTTGACATAAGCCGCGTTCACACCAAGTACTTTGCCGTACTTAGTGCCGGCACTTAGTGCCCCGGCACTTATTACCCCAGGGCACTTAGTACAGATCGCGTTCACACCGGAATAAGTTCCCTGAGGGAAGATTACGCAAATGAGCCGCTGACGTTACTTCGTCTTCTTCTGCTTTGGGTTTACTGGCAGGCCGCAAACAACTTCACGGCGTATACTGCCACCCGGAGTCCCCGGCCGGAAGTCCCCGGAGTTGGGGACTGGCTTCAGTAGAAGCTGCTGGGACTCCCAGCAGCTTCTACTGAAGCCTTCCGAGTAAATCGCCAGAACGCCGACACCTCCTCATCTCCTGGGCTCCCATGTTTTATTTTGTGTTGCCATAAGTTAGTCTCTCTGCGTTTGTGCGCTGGGCCAATGCTAATAATGCTAATGCGAGGATAATAAAATGGCGGCTCTACAAAACATTTCAGAGTTTTACGGGGCGTGGTTTGCAATTCGCCCAGCCAATCAGAACTGGGGCACTTTTTTCCCCCAGGAAAGTACCATCTCTCAGCAGGCACTAAAAATGGGGGTAAAAGTTCCCGGCACTAAGTATTCTTTTTGGTGTGAACGCGAAAAAAAAAGGGTACTAACGGAACTAAACGCGAAAAGTACGGGGAAAAGTACTCCGGTGTGAACGCGGCTAGTCATCTTTTGTGGATAGTTATGAAGCATTTTGAAAGCCAAAATATATCAACTCACGATCATTAACTGAAAAACACATGAAAGACGAAAACAAGGACAAATGTCTGGAAGTGACCTGTCAATTTAAAAGGTAAATGCTGCCAAATATATAGATATAAGCATATTGATGTGATGCATAGCTGTGTAAAGACGCCAGCTGCATCAGTCGGGATTAACATGCTTATTTAACTGCTTTTTGGGGTAAAATACAGCATGGTGCACCCACACAGGTCTTTTTACTTGTTTGATTAAACCTCTTCTTAGAGCTGGATGGGCGTGTACATATCCCTCACTTTCCTGTTAGTTTTGTTTAACAGTTGGCAGCTTTACACAACATTTATATGTCTGGCCAATCATGAGGCAACAAGTACTGTTTAATTATAACTTGATTAAACTCCATATAGTGTTTTCTGACCCCTCCTCAGTCCTTCAGATGTTTGTGGAGACGGTTTAGGGCGTCTTCTACAATGTCCAGCTCATGTCGGATGTCTTTCACCATGCTGTTGATGCTGTTGGTGTCCTTCAGGACGTCCACACTCTGGGTGTAGGGGTCGTAGCGTACTGTGAATGGACGCCAAATGGTCTTAGCAAATTCCCTGCAGACACAGCAACGTTTTTTCAATTAGTAACCCAGATACATTTTTCACATCACTTTAACAGCGTCGAAATACAAAAAAATTCAACAACCATGTTGTTGTGTGCGGCCAATTAAAAACAATTGAAAAGTGAAATTCAGAATTCATAAATACAGTACAAGTTCCGAAAAAGGAGAAGGAGGGACTTAATAAGAAGTTACATTTAGTTAAATGCAACATAAACAACAATACTGTGAGTTACCTCCTTGGGTACACAACAAAAGGAATTGTTAAAGCTAAGCTAATGTTTTGGTATGCTAACAAAATGTTTAGGTAGGTTACAGATAGAGGAAATGCTGTTGGTAAATAAATAGGTTGACATTTTGGAAAATTCACTTATTTACTCTATTTCCAAATGTGACAATTGACAATTGATACTAATCTCATGTCTGTGTGCAAAGTATAGAGCTAGAGCCAGGAGGTAATTAGCCTAGCTTAGCACAAGCAATTTAAAGCAGGCTAATTCAACTCTATGAAACATGTTACAGTGCTAGGTAATTAATTTATGTAAAATAGGTTGCCCATTGCAACTGGGATTATTTAAAATGTTGTTAGCAACATTATTAAGAGAAATCTGTATTTACAGAGCGGAATTCTACTGACCTCATTTTGTTCTTGGCGTCCTCAAAACTCTCAGAAACAAAGTAAACGTCTTGGAACGTAGTTATTTTGCACTCCTGGTTACAGGTCACCACGGGGTCAAACTGAAGGATATGGGCCTTGCCAGACAAAGCATGCTGATGGAAGAAAGAGACATATTGTAGACACATTTACATATTGAGAGAATGCCGCCCCAAACCTGATTGGTCATGTAACATGGTTTTGGCTGACCGAAACATTAAAATGTGAAGTACCCCACTCAAACGTCTCCGAAGTGGTAGTAAAAGCTAGTTACGATTTCCCCCCCAACACTCATTGCTGTGTATGGGCTAATGCTACAGGACTGACTGATAAGGTCAGTATTGGTTCATTCATATAAATTGAGATCATTACAAAAAACAAAAAAAATACTGTTGCTGTATTAAAAATCTATGGTTTTGTTATAAACCAGGAACTGTAATGTGCAAATAAAGTGTTTTCTGGCACAAAATCTCAAGTAATTTAATTTTGTAAAGATTATGAAAAAAAGCCTAAGCAGAGGCACAGTTAGTTCACAGTATGAGCATAAAGTGCAGTAGATGATTGTGTATTGTATAAAGCTAGACAAAGGACATAATGTGTTACCTGGAGTTCACTGATGGAGGAGAGGAGTCCAGCTCCATAGGCCCTGAGCCTGCCCTCCTGCTTACAGAGACCAAACTCCACTGTGAAGAAATAACACTAGAACAAAACAGGTTGTCATTTGGACATTATCCTATTCATCCACAGTATTAGAATGTAAGTAATAGATGTCATTGAAAAAATGTGTAAATTCAAACTTTAGGGAACTTTGAACAAACAATAATGCGATATTGAACAATGACAAGCCATTAGCAATTATCAGTAAGCTGCTCAACAACACTCCATTTTATAAAGGATTTTGTGCTTAAATCAAACCGAGGAGACTCATAATGTGAAACTGAGAGCTGGTTTCAATAAAATGGGGGCATTTCACTAAAATAAAAGTGTCAATGTGTAGTAGTATATATAAGTGTACAGTATATACTTCTTTGGCTTTAGTCTCCTCTTTGGTTTCTTTCAGTGGTGTGTGTTTGCATGTGTGTGCATTTGCGTGCTTGTGTGTGTTCTCACTGTGGCCAGTTTCTGAACAGCATCATCTGAAGCTCCCAGCGAAGCTAAACCAATCTCCTGAGAGAACTGGGCGAAGCTGGGCTCAGCCAGCAGAGGAACATGACCCAGCAGTTCATGGCACGTGTCTCTGCATCAAACACACATTTGAGAAGTGTGGGTAGGTGTTTTCAACTCGTGGTCATTGCAACAGTAGTACAAAGTGAAAGTCTTGTGCGTATGCACATTTGTACTCACGGCTCAGGAGTGTACAAAGGGTCGGAGCTGTGACGGACATACTGAGTGCAGTGGAACACTCTGAAGGCCAGGCCCGCCAGAAAGTCTCTGGGGGAGAGGTACCCTGCTACTGGCCGAATGATGAAGCCTGAGCGCTCTGCACACACACACACACACACACACACACACACACACACACACACACACACACACACACACACACACACACACACACACACATACACACACACACACACACACACACACACACATACACACACATTCACAAACACACTGCCTGTCTGTTTCTTTGGTAGAGGTACTTTCCATTGAAAACAGTTAAAAAGCCAAGAATTACCTGGATTATCAGGAACAATGGGCTTTATACAAGAACCACAAACAGAATTAATCTTAAGTAATCCCTATGAAGTTTATTCAAGTGAATGCAGGTAAACAGTCTGTGTGAAAGCGTTGGGATAAATTCCCCATCTGACAGCAATTTAGCATTTGATTGACTTTTGAGTCAAATAAATGAATGAAACCAAAAATAAAAACTGTTTTAGGCGTCTCTTAGCTCCATTTTACTTCCTTAAATTGATAATCAGACAAGTAAAAATTACACAAAAAGGGAGTCTTGGACCATATATCAGCTGGCTACAAAATGAAGCAGTAAGTCCAAGTGACTGTCACTGGAAACTTACCTCAAATGTAAGTGTTGTCAGCTTATTTTAACTATGTGATTGTCCGATTCCTCCCGATCTTATTGCAGATATTGGTGTTTGCAGCATTTCGTTTTTAATAAACACTGCACATGTTTCATGAAGTTGGTGAATGTTTTCTAAATGCTGCGCATGCTATCAAGTTGGTGAAGATCTTTCTTCATTTGCATGTGTGCTTTTATATTTGCATAGTCTTTGAAACTGTAGCGCGTTTCTCCTAATGGAAGTGTTTTGGGCCGTTTGCTGTTTAAATACATATGCAAATGAATCTTTGACCACAACCAACAGTCCATTTACCTTTATTGTAGAGAATAGAAGCACTCCCATACTTGATGCTCGACATCATAACTCTTTTGTAAGTCAATTTAGACCTTTCATAGGGAAATTTGGCAGAAAATACTGATACTGAATACTGAAAAATGGTGTGGCTTAAACACTCTGTTTGTATCGTGTTGTTTGCTGAGACCCACAGAATGATCAAAGCTGGTTGAAACGTTACCTTTGAGGAAGTGTGAGACGTCCTCCAGCTGTGGGATGTTGTCCTCGCTGTAGTTGCAGTATTTGGTCAGCAGGGGCAGGTTCTTCAGGTACTCCTTGCAGGCATGCCCGGGGTACAGCTTGTTGAGCTCCCTGTACACCACCCCCCAGGTACGCACCTCCTCTGAAGTGAAGTCTACACGAAGAATAGGATCGCCACTGACATACAGAAAGAGTCAGCTTTGTGACGTCAATACAATAGTATAGAATATTGGTAAAATAACGTAACAATGTAATGAATCAATAAATATTGTGTCATTTTGTGATACTGTATTATTGCATCTCAACAAGTTTTTGTTTAACTCGTAACTTTATAACTGATCCAAGTTTCTGTCATTGCAGTAGGTCATTGAGAAAGCTGTACCACCACCACGTTTTTCCTTTCAATTTTTAACATTTTATATTTGCAATTGACAAAACGAATTGTCGAATAGAATCCCATATTAGAAAGTAACTCAAATATCTTTGTTCTTTTAATGAAGTTTACAATAAGGGTTGTAGCCAGGGCAAGATTCTTAAGATGCATTCAATTGGTTAACAAGTAATTAAATTACATGAGTTGCTTTTTGTTTTGAAATGCTTTTACGTCAAACATTCTTCACATTTAAAACTTATTTTAATTCCATCTAGCTTAATATAGTCTGACACACAGCAGTCTTTGTTTGTTTTTCTGATTTAGTAATCAAGGGACAAACAAAGTTTTGTTTAATAAAAAAATTATACAAAACTACAACCTTTCCTGACGTATTTGCTTGTTCACCCAAATTCTTTTGAGTTTGCCTTTATGCTTTATTTTCCTACTTGCTTTGTTAAAAGTTCTTTTTCTCAAAACTATTGAATTAATTTGATTTAGCCCTGGAGTTGCTCTATTTATTTGATGTCTTGCATGGATGACATCTTTTGGTGGGCTGTCCCAGAAGTTAGCATTGCAAGGGTTTCTCAGACTAATAGTCTAAAACATGACCTTTGGCAAACAAATGTTTATGATACTTAATTTATTCAGCAGCATAATCTTCAAATATTAACACCACCTTTATAATAGTAGAAGCATAAAGGCAATCGCCAGAAGTAATAAGCTAGCGTAAAGATATAAAGTACTATATGATGCTCATGACTTCATTAAAAAAATGATTACTTTAAGACGAGGGAGCCCTTAAGTGCTTAAACGCCATTTCCAGGTTTAGGACTACTAGAAATGTACTCGTTATGTTTTGGGGTTGGTGTTCCCTGAAAGGGTTTATCCCTAAATGTTGAAACTGGTCACCTTAATCCGTTTTATACATCAATGCAAAATTAAAGTGTTTGCATGACAGTCAAACAAACAATGAAACTTACAGTTTGTAGCTCATGGCCAAATCAGCAAAATATGTTCTTCTTTTACGGTACATGTTGTCTTTAAATCCCTGCAAAAACACACTCACAATATCAGTATCCATCTTCATAACTGTCTTATTATATTAGTAAAGAAGCACCTCTGTGACTGCCCTACATACCGGATGGTCAGCATCTAACTCAGAGCCATACATCAAAACCCTGTTTGCAGACAGATCCAATTCAGAGATCTTCTGTGGGAACCAGGGCACAGCCATATCTGAAACACAATATGGAAATATAGAAATATGTTAGGTTCTGATTTTGTGTGTCGATATTGAATACACCGTAACAAAACATCCCCTGCATTTTAACCATATACAGTGGTTGTAAGGTTTTTTTAGTACAGTCAAAAGTCAACTTACCATCCTCAGGTATAGTGAAGTTCTCTGATGGAGTTATCTCAACTATATCAGTATGCTCCCTTAGCAGCTGAGTCAGCTCCTTGAGCTGTTCATTGTCAGTGTCACAATCCACAAAGATCTCAAAGTCGGAATTTCTACGTTTGGACTTGCGGGACTCAATGTGAACAAGGTTGACATGTTTTTCCTGCACAAACATAACATAAAAGATTAACTTAACAAGTGTAAAAGGTTTGAAAACATTGATCAAATTAAATGAGATAAGGGAATTTCAACCGAAAAAGATAACAGTTAACACTTTGTTAAAACATAAGAGTTAATAAAACACTCACCTGAAAAAGCCTAAGTGCTCTGATGAGACCACCGACTTCATTTTTCAGTGAAAATATTATGGTTGAAACATCTCTCTTGGAGCTGGTGGGCCTTCCAGTGGAGATGGTCCTATTGTCTTGATGCTCTCCAAATGTACTGGCCTTGAAAAATGGATATTGTAAACATCAATGAGCAACAGAAACAGTGAGACTGTAAATAAAAATAGATCGAAAACTTTTAGTGTAAACTTATTTATGGGAAAAATGCACATAAAAACAAAACTAGCTCTTATGGCATGTTTTGGTTTAATGCATGCCCATTTACATTGTATTCACACATAGCGTTCAACAGCGCTCTCTTGAATTACATGTTGAAATTCTCTCTGCATGCACTTTGCATCACATGCGTCCCACACTACTGCCCTGTCGGAGCCAAAACACATCAGGTACCGTTTAATTATATTACTGGAACGAATATATTTAATATTTTCTATTTCTATTTCTGTTAACATGCGGATCATAGCTTCAGTCAAAGTGCACCATTTATAACTTGTTAACAAATTATAATTTGTTCCGCTAGCTAGCTTACTGTGACCATGTGGGATGTAGCTTGATTAGCATGCTATTTAAAGAGTTTGAATTCATGTTTTTTCATAAATGTTTTTTGCACTTTAAACTCTTCGTTTGCACAAAGACATATTGTCATCTTACATTTTTAAAGTTTCTTTCCCCATTTTGTGTTAGCTGGCTAACTCACCACATGACACTTCACATAGTATGTATATGACAAATTGATGTCTATTCGACACATTAATGTGCAATGTCTGCTTGTGAAAGGTTTGACCAGCCGTGACATTAACGCGTTTCAGATTTGATTTGAACCTAATTTCTGTGTCATCATGGCAGAATGTGGTCCTGGAGACACCAAGGCCCTAATCCGTATAAACCCTAGGAATGTAACTGACGTCAATGTCTAAGTGCTTGAGTTTGAGAGACTGCAGGTGCTTTAAATGGTTTAATCAGGAACAAGGACAGCACTTCGCAGATTCTGCAATCACACAAAAAATCTGTTTAAAGAGATTACACTGAGTCAGGATTAGCCTGCACAGCAGCACTCACACTACATGGCAGCATTCAGGTAGGTGACTGTTTCATGACATACTGCGGAGCAAAGGTCGGCCCAGGTGACTGTGTCACAGTCGATAAGCAGCTTGTGCCATTTAGAAGCAGCTTTTATAATATCATCTAGGCAAACCAGCAAAAATATGAAATAAAAGTCTGCTGGATCAGTGATGCAAGGGTGCCTGTATAGCATTGAGAGAGGTGGACGGGAGTGAAAGTTGTCTTACTGTTGGAATCAGACAGACAGGTGATTAATATTAACAAATGTACAAGTAGTGTATAGTCTTGAAGATACATTTCAGAATTGTATATGGAGTATATATAGGCCGAATCAAACCATAATCTTTTCTTTGTACTAGTGTCTTCTTGGAGCTTTTTGAGAAGGATCTGTCCAGATTACAGACCCTTGTCAGAACAACCAGAAATAACGGCCATAATGAAATAATCTAAATCCAGGGATTTCAACTGCTCTTAAATTTGATTCAACAACACTGTAGCTATGCTCAGTTCAATCAACTGAAACGTCTTTTTCCTTCCTGAGCAGAATGCATGAAGCAAAGTGGTGGATAATAGGGTGAAGGGAAAGCAAGAATTGGAACGGTCCTACAACAGAACAAAAAGTACACACAATGAATCAGATGACGTGCACCTACACATGCATAAGAAATAAATGGCCCATGGTGCTCTGGCACAACATGCTGGATGTTACCACATTACATGCTTACAACACCTTAACTGCACCACACCCTGGAGATTGCATTGCGGGTATAACACATGCACATTAAAGTAGCTGGGCAAAGAGCGTGCTAAGGCCACAAACGAGGAGGCACCTAGAAGACACACCACATCGCCACAAGCACATTGAAGACACTGATCAGGTGTGGGTGGAAGTTTCACAACCCAGCTATTGCCCAACAACTGGATAAAGTCTCACAAGTGAAAAGGAAGAGGTTGAATGCTTGAATGTCTGCAGCTGGTGCTCACACTGCCAAAGACCTGGATGCGAGTATCTCAACGGCTACCAACTATAGTTTTTTCCGAGTGCATGCACTGATAGAAAGTACAGTGGATATTAAAACTGTTTGTTTTGACTTGTAGTACTTTTTTTATTGTTAGCAAAAATCTTAATTGCTAGCTGTAATGATTTATGTGATTCTATTTTTATAATGGCAGTCCTAATAAATACATTTTTAATTTTATTATTGGCTTTTAAAGTCAAAATTGCTGCAAAAACCATACATTGTAAAAGGTAAAAATAAAGTGTGATGTGTGTCGATTAGTAGAAAAATAACAAATACTTTGTACTTTCGTTGCTTGGTCAATTTGTACCCATATCTGGAAGTTTCATTTAGATTTGTAAAAACATTTCGTTTTCTCTGCATGGCAATACAGTTAAAGTCATATGATGACATATCAAAATAAAAACATTTATGTTTTTCCTAAAATTCTGGTGCTGAAATATTTTTGATTAAAAGATATTACAAGAAACAATAAGCTATGTTTCAAATAGTATTGAAAACTGGTAATGTTGTACCTTTATTGTGCATGGAATAGGTTAAATCAGAGGGTTAAAACAACTCCTGAGAAAACAAACATTATTCTTTTGTTGAGGCTTTTTATATTAACATATAATGCATGGACTTACTTCATTGTTGAGCTGCTTCTCCTCATTAGCAGGGTTTACCGAGTCCAAAGACCCTCCTCTGAATGGCCCCTGTTCTTCAGACTTGTTGACATACATGCCTGTTTCTAGATCAGCAGTAGAAATGCAGTTGTTTCTCAATAAAGTTGTTCTGCACAAGCAACAGCTAAGTTTGAAGTAGATGACAGTTAGTTCTTCGAAGGAAACACAGCCTTCTCTTGGCAGCAGAACAGTGCAGTAGTAGTTCAGCTCAGAATGAGTGGCCAGCTGTACTGTTACGCAGAGCAAAATGCTGAGGTGTTTATGAAGCCGCAGTGGGTGGGGGGCATGGAGAGGGAGCAGCCATTTATTCCGGCAGAAGAGAGATTAGTACTGGACACGATTAACACACTTCGGGGAAGTGCACCACAATGACTGCTTCAAACGTGGCAATTACGGTTTTTTGTTCTTAAATTATTGATAAGAATTATAGGAAGGATAAAGGCTTACAAAGCACTTTTCCTTTTCCAAAGTTCAACAAGCTTCCAAGGAAAGAAAGCACAAACTAAAAGTCTAATAAAACAGAGCAACAGCAATGCCATTCAAACATAAAACCAGCCAGAAAGAGGAATAGAAGAAGTGAAGATCTTATGGCATATTACATGTTACTTGTTAGACGCTTTTATCCAAAGCGACTTACATACTCAATACTGTGGACAATCCCCACAGGAGCAATTTGGGGTGAAGTGTCTCAGGGACACAACGACATGCTGACTGCAGTGGGGTTTGAACCTGTGACCATCTGATCCCCATACCAAGACTCTATCCACTGCCACACGCCTCCCAGATATCATTGTCTTGGTCTGAATTAACTAGGCCAAAAGGTTCAGTCATCAAACCAAGCTTCGAAATCAATTCGATACATTTGTAATTGCTCTGTACATTTTTGTTTTCACATGCAGACTTTTAAGAGTTTTGTCAAGTTGCACTGTTTCACTGTGGTGGTTTCGAAAATGCTGTTGACGTTGTATTGCTGGCTTGTTCCTTATACAAACTGTACATTTAGTTGTTCTGCTCATCAATCCATGCTATGGAAAGATTGTGTGAGTGTTTCCCTCAATCAATTGTCTTTATACATACTGTTGCCAAGGTAGTTATTTCCAACAGTACAACAGCTTTAGTTGGTTATTCACCAATATACCTAAGAAAGCATGGAGGGTTAAGGTTTTTACTGTTACAGTATGAGCAACCATCATCGCTACTAGTTCTGGCCATCAGTAGCGATTAGGAGTAACATTTATAAGGTTTCCCCCTACTGTAAATGAGTGAGTCAGACATCCTCATGGAGTAGCTTAGGATTTGTGGCTGCATTCACTGTAAATGAGTGAGTCAGACATCCTCATGGAGTAGTTTAGGATTTGTGGCTGCATTCATCAACTTTATTTGCGTCACACGTGCTAATAAACTGCATTGTTTTACATCTGTGCATCTACTTGCTTTGCTGAAGTATGTGTATGTGATTTCTAAATAATTGATTTATATCAAATAGGACATTGACTCCCAACGTTCAAGAAAGAAGTAAAGCCATGTTCTTAAAACTATAACTATTTTAAGTATCTGGCCTCCACCTGGGAACATAACAAAGACTGAGGATGTGGCTTAGTGATTTGCTCTCACACGATGAATGTGGGTTTATTAGGCTAAGAGAGGACAGATGGGGTAAAACCACAAAAATGTAATGGTTGAGTAGTCATATTGTGCAAGACAGATTTTTTAAATCTTCAAGTGAAAAGTCAAATTTAAATCAAATTTAATTTTTTTATATCCATGATTGTTTTGTTTTTTTATCTTCTGTATGTACTTATTTAATAAAAACGAAATTCAATTGTATTCACTCCAGTTGTAACAAATTATAGAGGGCTTTTCCCGGAAAAGAGAATTGTTGGTTGCAACGAACAATGTAAATATACTGATGATTTAATTAAATATCTGTATGGCTCTGCAGTTAACCAGCTGCAGGGCCAATGTCGACCGATGGAGCAGTCCTTACTTGCATGTCTCACGGATAACTGGCGTAACAAATGCTCCAGTATTGGTTACGGTGTATATATTGATCTTATTTGTACTATTCATGCCTAATATCTTTCATTTTAGGCGAAGGTGAATCCAGCTTAAAGAAAATGTTATGAAAGTCTATGAGAAACTCCTCCTCCTTCTTACTTGGTTTTTTCCTCATTGAACATTTTCCCTAAAAGTTTGAGGTCTTAATTTCTGGTTTAAACATTTTTGCAATACTGCATGATGTTTATCTTGTAAACTATAATCCCTTTTAGAGTCTAAAAGCTGATAAAGCAGGTTATGCTTTAAAGCAGCTACCTTTTGATTGACAGGTCGTTACCACGCTATTGTCAAATATTTTTAGTTGTCAGTGTATTCTGATTGTGTCGCCACTTTTTAGTTCATTTGAGTTTATTGTAAGATGACTGATCCTGCTGATCCATTTAAGAGGAGAAGGACCCCCTTCAGTCCAGGGCCCAGGGCACATGTTCACTTCACCCATGCTGTTATCCATCTATGATGAGTAATTGTAATTATATCAAGAGACAGGAAGTCTCCAGCTGGTTCTTTAATTGTGTCTTAAACAGTAGCCTAGTACCTCTAGGAGGCTCCATATGAGACCTGGCATATTTAAACACATTTACAACCGGATCTGAACCAGATTTGAGAAGCTTGATGAAAATCAATCCTAGTGTAATCCATCTGCTTTCTGTTCATACAATTAGAGAACACAGACCTTTGTGCAGAACTGATTGTTGCAGGTATCCAACGCATCCCACTGTCGTATGGTATCTGTGCAGGGTCATTCCGAAACACGTGTTTATTTTTGTTAGTTTATTTGATTATGCTGTACTGAAACATCGTAAAATCATTTACATGGATGATATATGTAGCAGCAAATCACTTTTCTAAAAAAGTCTGATTGGAATGCTACTCTTTGTGTAAAACTCAAAAAGAAGCCAAGAGACTGCTGTGAAGAATAAAATAATCATGTGTATAAAATATATACACATGTATATAATAGATTCCGAGACTCTAATTTCACTGAGAATGGTGGGGGGGGGGGGGGGGGGGGGGGGGGGGCTAAGAATTAGGAAAAGGACACAAATGACCAAAAACTGTCTGCAATATAGGCTGGATTGTACAAGTTTTCCGAAATCGTCTTGTCCAGTGAAAACCATTAAACTCAAAATGTGGTGATTTCGAAAAAAAATCAACGTAGGCCTATATACTTTTCTAAAAATGGTATTGTACATCTTAATGCTGAACAAATGTATTGTCCCATTTAGATGAATTGGACAATCTGCTTTTTCTATGATAACAGCTAGTCTCTGGATTACTGTAACCATATAAGATAGCCAGCACAACTAAAAATAAAGTACGAAAAATACATTTATTTTTTAAATCTACTTTTCTTTTTCCCCAAGCCGTGCACATATATATTTGTATGTGATAAAAATGTCTCATTCGCCATGTTGTTTCTTCCACATGTATGGAACGCAGCCCTTCTTTTTGGATGTAGGTTGGCTTGTAGGTGTAGGTCTAGGTCTGTATGAAACCGGACGCAGCCGCAGCCGCTCTGGTTCCTGTCTGTCTCCGTCATATATCGGGGCTCCCTGTCCGGTACTGCTGCGGTTGCTAGCTGCTTAGCACACTTTAAAAGAAAGTTACTCTATATGGTTAGGCGTTTTTTAATTCAGAAGATTAATCGTAACGTTAAAAGGGAGTATACAACATGCCTGCAGTCTCAAAAGGTGATGGGATGCGTGGCCTGGCCGTGTTCATCTCTGACATCAGGAACTGTAAGTTTGTTTATCACACACATACACAGTTGTTGGATAGGCATGTAACAAGCTAGCTGGTGTAACGAGGATTAGCTATATGACGGATGGTTTTCAGAACATGTTTCCCATGCCCCTTACTCATACTTTTTGTAACTTCAGCGACCTTAGACGGCTTTACACGACCACTCTGCTGGCTAGCCCACACTTGCTAATTAAAGCTAGCCGCTAGCTTCCACTTGCTAACGTCACGTCGAAGGGCGTGGACCGACGGCTAAATGGAGATAATGCCAAACTGCCCATTTTATTAGCCTTTTGCATTTTAAGTTAGTGTGTTTTATAGTTTTCTGCCAGAAACCAAGCGAATCCTTTCCAACACTATATATATCTATGTGTTTTTTGTTTCTGCGTTAACGTCACAGCTGACAGTTGAGCCTTTGTGAGGACGTGCACATCTGTGGGCAAGGATATGTCACATGTTGCCAGGATCTCTTTCTCCTAAAATATGCAAAAAATCCGCCAACTATAATTAAAAAACGTTCACCGTGTTTTCAGGCGTCCAGCTAGAGACATTCAGAAGAAATGTCTGTCAGTTTAAGTGGGATAAAATTATGAAATAGGCCATTAACTCTTCTTACAAGTGTATGTCTTACACTGTAGAATTGTTACCATATGCTTTACCATTTCCTTTCTCCTTAAGTGTTTATTCAGCATTTTAGATTCACTTACATTTATGATGTGCGCTCAAATGAGGAAACAGATTTCAGTCACCAAAGAAAATACATTATTATGAGGTGACTTTTGCATCCTACTGTATATAGCCCATCATGATTTATTATCTTGTTATTATGACCTAGTAATATAAAGTCATCACCCTGTCATTTTACGGCTTAATGATTTTAATTATTTATGAGATTGATTCTTGTATCAATGATAACTGTTTCAGATGATACTGTTCACAGCTGTATCAGAGTACACTTAGGGGCCAAACCAATGCAATGGGATTCCTGATAGTTAGTACGTGTAATGGCTAGCTACATTATAATCCCCACAGGTGTTTATGATCACTGAGTGCTGATGCGGCATCTGAGCTGCAGAGGTTGTTGAATGCTGACTCACTCTCATTAAAGACAACAACTGTTTGCATCTGCTCACCTCAATCTGTTTCCTCAACACTGAAACATAGCTGTTTCCTAAAAATCTCTTCTGTTGAGCTGTTCTGTAAACCCTTTCCTAATGACCCTGTTGCCATAACAACACATTACCTAGGTTCCCACGCCTACACTCATAATCAGCGATCCTCTTCTCAAAAGGAGGATATACACAAATGGATCTCTAAGTAATGAAATAGTGATCATAGAAAAACATCTACAATTGTCTCTGTAGAATAACAACATGGACTACAATCTCAAAGGAATGCTTCCAGCACCTTATTTAAATCCATGACACCAATCATTCAGGCTGTTCTTGGAGAAGATGAAGCTACCCAGTACTCTAAGTATACTAATTAAGTGGTTTCTAGCTGTAGCCAATATGTCTCTGTATAGTTGAGCTCCACCGTCCTTTATAAGAACCTCATAAAAGAGCCACGGTTTTGTATTGGCGGACATATCGTTGTGCATGAGGAACACCTAATGTGGATTTATTTCCTCTCGGCTCATAAAATGAAAAAAAACTAATTGTAAACAAGAATAGGATCTATTCAAATGTCTGAGTATTCACAGCAACATGTAACATGTACAATATCTTGATCTATGTGTAGGTAAGAGCAAAGAAGCAGAGGTCAAGAGGATAAACAAAGAACTGGCCAATATCCGTTCCAAATTCAAAGGTAGGTGAACAACTCTGCAGGCTAGACTTCAGTGTAAGGCATACTAGGGCTGCTCAATTAATCGTATTGTTATCGCATTACGATGTTGGCTTGCAACGATTATGAAAACAACATAATCGAAATAAAACTATTCTTTTTTTTTTCTTCTTTTTAATTAAAAAAAAAAATATATATATATATATATATATATATATATATATATATATATATATATATATATATATATTGGTTTTTCAGTTGAATTATACTTAAAGGTGGGGTAGGTAAGTTTGAGAAACCGGCTCGAGATACACTTTTTGTTATATTCCATGGAATGCTCTTAACATCTAACTAAAGTAACTGGATGGCCTACCTGCCTGTCAGCCTTCCATCTGTGCACAAACTTATCTCGTGCCCTCATTGGTCATGTGCGCGTTCGTGTGTGTTGGAGGAGGGGCTCTGTAGGAAGTGGCAGATTTTTTCCAGCTGTGTATTTTCAAATTCTAGCGCACTCAAGCTGGTTTCTCCAAAATTACTTACCCCACCTTTAAAGTTCAGGGTAATCAACTGTTACATTTTTTTCCAAGTAAATGGATAATCGTTTTTAATAATCGTGATATCAATTATTGACCCAAATATCGAGATTATGATTTTTGCCATAATCGAGCAGCCCTAAGGCATACATGACAAGTTTATATTTTACCATGGACCAAATTGTACAAGCACCTGCTCTGTTTCTTGATACAAATCCTTTTCCTTCCATGTCACATGTTTTCCTGTTGCTGTTTAATCTGCTCTGCTAACTCATCTTGTGACTGTGTCCCAGCTTTTTTTAATTTATTTTTTCCTCACGTTTTTTGGATGTTTCTGCACTGTAAAAGGTCCACACACCTCTCTGTGAATGTGTGTGTCCTGTTGTGTGTGTTGTTTCTCCTGCCACCTGTTCCATGCTGCCTATAATTAGTTTGCTCCAGAATGAATCTGCCCAGCATTCAGGCCTATGTTCATTATAATGTGTTCTCTATGGGCCCTTCAGCCTGCACAAGGCCAACTTTTCAACTTCATAAGTGATCTCATTGTTTATGTTATGTGCTCTCTCAAAGTATTAAAAGTTACAATTTTGGCTACGTCAAATCCAATGCTGGAAAGTTGTAGGGGGAGAAGGTCTCAGATATTGTTTGACAATCCATCAAGCCCTTTAGTTTAAGCAATCTGACCCCGTTAGTGTTTTTCATCAAATGTTTGTGTGGGGTAGCCCAATATTTGATCAGAGCTTTGTTATGCATCTGCCAAGGCTTTACAGTTTGTGTAGTGTCTAGTGTGTGATTGTATTTACAAAGACGGACCGCCTCAACAACTAATCTAGTCTCAGAGGAAATGTGTACTGGGCGTTATTATGAACGAGGGAAATAACTGGCTGAAAAACTTTTGATCACAAGTAGTAAGCTAATTCAAATTGTACCCATAGATGCAAGTATTTAAGATACGTTTTTCAGCAAAATACAAATCGGCGTAATGCTTACCTTTTTTATTAATTAATCATGCCACCTCCCTAAACATTAGCCCCTAAATTGTCCTCTGCTTTTGTTCCATTGCGACAGACTAACAGAGCTGTAAGTAGCGGGAGAGATGCTCTGTGGTAAATAACTATGACCAGGATGCACCCTTTGTGTCCAATGTTAACACCTTTTATTCATCTCAGTAGGGACATCCAGTGACCGAGCAGCAACAGCATTAAGAGTAAAACACAGGATAGGACGGTAAAGAGTTCACACAAGAGTAGTTGAGTTTACATTTAGACAAATTAAAGTGAAGACAATTATGAATATGAATACATATTTTCAGTGCAAGCCATATGTCATATCACAGATGACCAACGTAGGCATTCAAAACGGATTCCTTAAGGGTAAACATGAGACTCACTTAGGCTTTTTCAGGAGTTAAATGTGGTATAGCCATAAATAATATTCACAGTCTCACAATTGAAGTTAAGGTTTATTTAAGAAAAAAAAAACTTCGGTAATAATAAGTATTTATGAAGATTAAAATACTGCACCTATGGATGTATTAACATCCATAGGTGCAGTATTTTAATCCTGAATTAGCCCTAGATATCCTAATAAATCATTTTAGTCCCACCAGTCATTTGTCTTTAAAATTGAATGAATAAATTCCAGCTTTTGTTTGTATTCTAATCAATTTTGTGTGTGTGTGTGTGTGTGTGTGTGTGTGTGTGTGTGTGTGTGTGTGTGTGTGTGTGTGTGTGTGTGTGTGTGTGTGTGTGTGTGTGTGTGTGTGTGTGTGTGTGTGTGTGTGTGTGTGTGTGTGTGTGTGTGTGTGTGTGTGTGTGTGTGTGTGTGTGTGTGTGTGTGTGTGTGTGTGTGTGTGTGTGTGTGTGTGTGTGTGTGTGTGTGTGTGTGTGTAGGTGTGTGTGTGTGTGTGTGTGTGTGTGTGGTGTGTGTGTGTGTGTGTGTGTGTGTGTGTGTGTGTGTGTGTGTGTGTAGTGTGTGTGTGTGTGTGTGTGTGTGTGTGTGTGTGTGTGTGTGTGTGTGTGTGTGTGTGTGTGTGTGTGTGTGTGTGTGTGTGTGTGTGTGTGTGTGTGTGTGTGTGTGTGTGTGTGTGTGTGTGTGTGTGTGTGTGTGTGTGTGTGTGTGTGTGTGTGTGTGTGTGCCTGTGTGTGTGTGCCCGTGTGTGTGCCCTTGTGTGTGTGTGTGCCCGTGTGTGTGCCCTTGTGTGTGTGTGTGCCCTTGTGTGTGTGCCCGTGTGTGCCCTTGTGTGTGTGTGTGCCCTTGTGTGTGTGTGTGCCCTTGTGTGTGTGTGCCCTTGTGCGTGTGCCCTTGTGTGTGTGTGTGTGCGCCCTTGTGTGTGTGCGCCCTTGTGTGTGTGTGTGTGCGCCCTTGTGCGTGCGCCCTTGTGCGTGCGCCCTTGTGTGTGAGTAGGAGACAAGGCTCTAGATGGCTACAGTAAAAAGAAGTATGTCTGCAAGCTCCTCTTCATCTTTCTCCTGGGCCATGACATCGACTTTGGACACATGGAGGCCGTCAACCTCCTCAGCTCCAACAAGTACACAGAGAAACAAATCGTAAGTTTGTCCTCATGTTCACACACCAAGCTGTCATGGAAATATGTTTGTGTACAGGTGTGGGACTAAGGAGTATACAAATATGTTGTAATTACACTAAAACATTTCCCCCATGTGCCTTTCCAGGGGTACCTGTTCATCTCAGTGCTGGTGAACTCTAACAGCGACCTGATCAGTCTCATCAACAACGGCATCAAGAATGACCTGGCCAGCCGCAACCCCACCTTCATGAACCTGGCCCTGCACTGCATCGCTAATGTGGGCAGCAGAGAGATGGCTGAAGCTTTTGCCTCTCAAATTCCCAGCATCCTGGTGGCAGGGTTTGTACATCAAAATTATTTTGTATGAAGATATTTCAACTGTTGAAGTCTCAAACGCAATTAATTTGATCCACTAGCAGTTTAAAAATGCAAATGTAAGCCTGAAAGACAAATACGCACTCTCTGGGCAAGACCTTTTTAGATATTTCCAGGTAAGACATTTTGTTAAACCCCAATTTCCGTCTTTTCCACATACACCCCCAAAATGACCTTGTGATTTGGAAATTGTGCCTAACAAAAAGGAGTTCATTTCAGAAATGTATAATCTTCTTATGGCACTGAACGCTCATACCCTCGCTAAGACAATTCTTGGGATGCTGAATTATGGTCAAATCTTAGAGATGAGTTCTGTGATGCAGCTGAGAATATATACATCAACATCCTGTGCACGCCTTGGGCTGATACAATTGAATGTCCTGCACCGGATGGTTAATTCTAAGAAAGAAATGAAAATGAATGAAGATCATGGTCTCAATTGGGACCCTGTATGATTGTACCTGTTCCTTTAATAAATAAACTGTGAAAAATACACGTGTAATCATAAGACATAATGGTGTATTGGATTGACTTGTGCCTGCAGGGACACGATGGACAGCGTGAAGCAGAGTGCAGCGCTGTGTCTGCTCCGGCTCAACAGGACCTCTCCGGACCTGGTGCCCATGGGGGAATGGACCGCACGAGTGGTGCACCTGCTCAACGACCAGCACCTGGTAAGACTGACCCAAGTCCTTTCTGTTCCCTAAGGAGTCTGAACAAGTGTGTCATGTGTTCTCCTGGGGTGTGACGGTAAACAAACGTCACGGTTCAGTTAATACCCAGATTTAAGAGTCATGGTTCAATTACGTTTCAAACACTTCTGAGTTACGCTATACTAATGCAGAACAAATATTTTCCCTAATGGCAACAGGTCGCCATTGTCTTTTTAAGAGATAATGTGCAGCAAGTCACTCTGTCGGGAACCTGCTCACCCTGTCGGTGTTCCTTTTCTCATTAATGACTGCCTTTCTGCAAATGATCCCGCTTAGTACTAAATAAACCAACGACTTGTCTCAACAATTTGTTGATTAAAAATGTATTATATTGCTTCCTAAAATAGTCCTTAGGTCCAGCTCGCTGACTCTTTTATCCTTTTATGGGGAAAGTTGTTTGTAAAAATGATTATTCACAGTATTTTCTGACCGAGGAAAACAAATGTGTTTTATTTGTTTGCCCTTTACTGTTGTTGAATAAACCGGACTTCTTTCTGCGGATTGATACGACTAAACATATTCCCTTGATCAGAGCGTCCTCCGTAGCAGCAGTCTGTTAGCGGAAAAAAGTCAGACCCTTGAAATGAATTCAGAATTGAGTATTCAGCAAAGACGTGCAATGGAAACACAAAAAGCATCTCTTATGGCTGGATTGTTTAAAAATAAAATAGCATCTCTTATGGATGGGGTATACAACAATTCATTAAAAAAGCATCTGGCTACTGCTGTGAAATGATATCATGTGTATCGCTTCCTCAACACATGTTGGCAACACCGAACAAGAAGTTTCCGAGCTTGTTAACTTAGGAAACGCAGAACGTCCATCAATCTACATGCCTTGAGTTCTGCACCAGACCGTGACGCTACGATAACATAGGCTGCTTTGTGACGCAGTGTTTGTTTTCTTTGGAGTCTTGAGTGTGTAATTTGTTCACTGAAATGTTACACACAACTCACTGTTTGGTTCTTACCCATAATTGTGCGTCATGGTTGGATTCATGTTAGGGCTGCACGATATATGGTGTCGTGGCGATAATCCCGATATGCGCATGCGCGATATTCACATCGCGTGGACGTGCGATATTAAGTAGGCAAATTAACTCAAACACGTCATGTTACAATTATTTTGCTGCTTGCTACAAAAGGGAAACTTGCGCGGCTCATGTCAGGGGTACTTGAGTGAGTGACATGCAGGCTCTGCATGCACAGCAAACCACCAATCACAATCAAATCTCCAAAGCAAACGGACCCAGTGATTAAAGGTAGAAACGCTGAATAAAGTAGTTGCATGTGTTTCTCCAGGGCAGTTCGGCGCTGCTAACCGAGCTAGCTCAGCTTGTTGCTCTGATAACTTAAGATCCAGACGTCCGTGACTAAAATCCTTAATCCGGTTAAATATAGTTAAAAAAATACCAATTGTATAGCATTAAAGTTCAAGAAAGGATGGTTTGCGGGAAAAAAAACCAGTTTTTTCTTCAATTCCTGTATTTTTTCATATCTCAATATATATCGCAGGGGGAAAAAAAATCGCAATGTCAGTTTTTTCCAATATCGTGCAGCCCTAGTTCATGTTCAATACAATGGGGAAAAAACCCTCTTGCCTGTGACTAAGGGAGCTTTTAGCCCACTGGCAACTTTGATAAACTATTTTCATAGTAAAAAATAAGGAACATTCGAACACTGTATAACACGGAAACAAACACCTTCCCAAAAGACAACAGGTCACAAAAGGCTACAAAACTGAAAAGCTATGCTATTTTTGCTATGAAATTTAAAATACTTATTGTCTTCTTTTTACCCATTGCATCTAGTTGACAGTATACATTTATTTATTTATACTGTCATATCATTTGTTGGCTTGTGTTTAATTTCTTCAACGGTTTTACAGGTTCAAGTTTCTTAGCTTTTGAACTTTGAATCTGCATTCACTGCAACAATCTACGTGCCATGTGTTCTGCGTGCACTGTAACAATTTTGGCTTCATGTCACAGCGATTTGTTTTGTCTGGCCATCTCACCCCTCTCATCTCTGTGAACCAGCAGCACAGTTTTCCAGTGACACTTAATACTGTGTCAGTTAATCTGTAATTATGATATAATGATGTGTGTGTGTGTGTGTGTGTGTGTGTGTGTGTGTGTGTGTGTGTTTTCAGGGAGTAGTAACAGCAGCCACCAGCCTCATCACCACTCTAGCCCAGAAGAGTCCTGAGGACTTCAGAACATCCATTTCTCTGGCTGTGGCCCGGCTCAGCAGGGTCAGTGTGTCTGTCTCTTTACATGATAACTTCATTCACTGAGGTCAAAGATCAAATCTAAAATGAACATATATTCATGTGTTTTAATGTGTCACCTTGTTGTTGCTTGTCCAGATTGTGACTTCAGCATCCATCGACCTACAGGACTACACATATTACTTTGTTGCTGCACCATGGCTGTCTGTCAAACTGCTACGCCTGCTACAGTGCTACCCTCCACCTGGTATGTACACTTATGTGTTTCTGCACCACAGATGATTATCCAGTGGAGAAACATACAGTCCTATCACCTGAAAAGTGAGGAGTAGAACTTACTCACTGGGTAAAGTGGGCAACTTTCTTTCTTAAATAATATTTTGACACTATTTAATTGGATGATCAAACATTGAGGGTAAATGTAGCCAATAAAAGCAATAGATTCCTCATTGCTACTCTGTGGACAGATACATCAGAATTCTCCTGCTGCTCAAGAGGTGTAGATAGGCACCATTTTTCACCTAAAACAAGAACCACAGCATTTTCCCCAAAAAATGGTGCCGGTCAACATGTCTGGGAAGATTTCAATGTTCCAGGCCAAATGTCTATCAAATATTATCTGTGTTTATGATTTAGCCTAAACATTTTTTATAAAATAGAATAGTTGCATGAATGGATTTTTGACACTAGATGGCACCAGAGTAGACAAATACATTTCAGAAAAAAATACCTTCTATGAGATATGTTAAAATATATCAGCTTTTCCCACTATTTTGGATATGGAGGTGAAAAACCTTGCTTTGAGTCCCAGCTGAATGTCTGTGTTTTTAATATGAACATTCTTTAATGTAATGGCTTGAGTTGTTCAGAACACGCTGTCTGTTGTTGCAGAGGACGCAGCGCTGCGCAGCCGCCTGACAGAGTGTCTGGAGACCATCCTCAACAAAGCCCAGGAGCCCCCCAAGTCCAAGAAGGTCCAGCACTCCAACGCAAAGAACGCTGTTCTGTTTGAAGCCATCGCCCTCATCATCCACCACGACAGGTCGGTCATACTCCTCATGTAACTCTGGTTCATTCCCCGGGGTTTTATAATTGGGCCACTGGGTAGACTTTTAGTAAATCATGTTGGATTCTAACATGTTGTATTCAGTCCTGTAGCCACATAGCATCTGCTGTTTTGCAGAAAGGCACTTGACAGGGACCCCCCCCCCCCATCCATTGTCAATCAAAAACAAAATACTTCCAGGCTTTTTTAAACTAGTGTTTATGACAATGATATCTTGAGAACATAGCCCTGCTAATATAGGAAATATTTGACCCCTTGTCTTTTATCTTCCTATTTAGGCTACTTTACATTTGTTCGACTTTATTTTTCACCTATGTGGGGTTTTAGATGTTGCAATGTGTGTTGACTCTTCATCTAGCTGTTGTTCTGGTCCCTCAGTGAGCCCACCCTGTTGGTACGAGCCTGCAACCAGCTGGGCCAGTTCCTGCAGCACAGGGAAACCAACCTGCGGTACCTGGCTCTGGAGAGCATGTGCACGCTGGCCAGCTCCGAGTTCTCTCATGAGGCGGTGAAGACGCATATAGATACTGTGATCAACGCTCTGAAGGTGAGGCCTTCATCAGCTGTCTGCTTTGATAAGCTGTGATGTGGACATGATGAACATGTTTTTTTTTTCACCATTTGACTAGTGTTTGGCTATAGAGTCTGTTATGCCACTAACATTCAGTGTTTTTTTCTACTAATTGATAGTTGTCCCTTGACAAATGTTGAATTGGACTTCTGTTCTAAGATGCAAAGCTGTGATATGGCAATAAGTGAGCTGTCTGTTATGGACATTGGTATATCAGCGTTTATGAAAACACAACAATAATGAACAGCCTATTTGAATGGCTGGCAAGTTCATACGAACAATCAGTTTACTAACAGATTAACTGAAGGTTCTTATAAAGCAGCACTCCAGCTAACAATAGTTTTCGTTATTAAATAATCTGACCATTTTTTTCTTGAATTATTGAAATGTAATCCCGATTATGATTTTGTTGGCCAACAATTTTAAAATATCTTGAGCACTGCCAATATTGATGTCTGCCTGCTCTGCTCACATAAAGCGCTTCCTAAACTAACAGAGCGTTAAGAGATGATTGCATTAGCAACCTTCACTGAAGGTTGCTAATGCAATCACGAGTAGAAGAGAAATATATTGTATATCAAGCTTTGTTTTCTTATATTATTGGCCATAATCATTTGTCATACATTTCTGTTTATTTGTATACAGACAGAGCGAGATGTGAGTGTGCGCCAGCGAGCCGTGGATCTGCTCTACGCCATGTGTGACCGCAGCAACTCCAAGCAGATAGTGGCGGAGATGCTGAGCTACCTGGAGAACGCAGACTACTCCATCAGAGAGGAGATAGTGGGTCATCAGTACAAGCCTGGTCATCATTTTCTTCTTCTGTGTATGCCTCTCCCCCTGACTCACTTGCTTTTCTTCCTCAGGTGCTCAAGGTGGCTATCCTGGCTGAAAAATATGCTGTAGACTACACCTGGTACGTGGACACCATTCTGAACCTCATCCGCATTGCGGGGGACCACGTCAGCGAGGAGGTGTGGTATCGAGTCATCCAGATCGTCATAAACCAAGACGATGTCCAAGGATACGCCGCAAAGACCGTCTTTGAGGTGGGCATGAAGATATCTGTCATCACACTCAGAATCTTCCTCTTAAGAGTCCTCTTATGGTCCACCATCATGTGTTATAAGTCCCCTGTTCATGAGCACATCAAGAGGAATAAATAGGGACTAAGTGGGAATTGGCTGAAACATTCAAATTTCAGCAATTCACTTTTTTCATTTAAAAACTGTAATGTCTTTTTCCTGGTCTCCAAAGGTTCCTAAGACTAACAGGATTTACAGAGCAGCAGCTATGAATGTCCTAAACCTTTGTTTGCTCTAGATGTACCCCTTAGTGCACAAGGAATGAGGGAGTCATTTTAGATAATAACAGGAAGCCTGCAAAGGAAAGTTGTAATGCATTTTTCTTAATGCAGAGTTATACAGCAAGTAACTTTACAAATGTGAGCTAGCTATAAACTAAGATCGCACTGTGAAACTGAAAATATATTTTGAATTAAACAACATTAAAAAAAAAGCGAGAGAAAAGAACCAAAGATCGTTGACTTAAATTGAGTTTTACCAGAGTCAATCCAAAGAGTTTGCCTTGTTGTGATACCAGTGAGGGATTGTATACTTGTGTCCGGACTATGTGAAGCCCATACTGACAATATTGGGTGGCTAATCAACACCTCTGCTTGCAGTAGATATTATGTATAGATTGTATTCCAACCCAATGTTGTCATGCTTTGTGAACTCTTGTAGGCACTGCAGGCTCCAGCCTGCCACGAGAACCTGCTGAAGGTGGGGGGTTACATCCTCGGAGAGTTTGGAAACCTTATTGCTGGGGACCCACGCTCCAGGTAAACTGCAAGCATTCATATGGTTTTGTTTTCCACATTTTGAGATATTTGAATAGAATAGTTTTTTAACAGCAAATGGAACAGCTGTGTCTCTTTGAGAGAAGTATCCCCGTTTCTCTCAAAGTTTTCACCTGGACTATTTCTTGTTTAAAAAGTACTGTTAATGAAGTCAACACTATCTGCACAGCTAGATGAGACAAGTTCTAATTTAAAAAAACATTTTGTAATGTTTGTGTAATTTGGGTGAACCTAAACTAAACATGGTGCTGTGTTTTCCATAGGAAACAAGCAGCAGCAGCAATGTAATATACAAGGGACATATTGAGTTAGTTTTGTGAAGAGTCTCGATCTGACCTGAATGTTTGTGTCCTCCCTCAGCCCTCTGGTCCAGTTCAACCTCCTCCACTCTAAGTTCCACCTGTGCTCGGTGCCGACCCGGGCCCTGCTGCTGTCCGCCTACATCAAGTTCATTAACCTGTTTCCAGAAGTGAAGCCCACCATCCAGGACGTGCTGCGCTCAGACAGCCAGCTGCGCAACGCTGACGTGGAGCTGCAGCAGAGAGCCATCGAGTACCTGAGGCTCAGCTGCATCGCCAGCACCGACATACTGGTGAGGGGGCTCTGCAGGAAGTACACAAAAATACTGATTACGCCAAATTCTATCAGTCTGGCCCACATTCAAGCTTTCACAAAAACAGGTTAAAAAAAGTCGGCATTGATTTACATAACAATGAAGATCTGTACCAAACAAGGACTTTTGATTAAGTCTGTGGAATACCGTGTGTTGCCTGGCACTTCTTTGTAGCAACACAAGACTTCATACCAAATATTACCCTTACTGAGATTTGGATATTGAACTAGTCCATATTGAAACTTTGATAACTTTTTTTTTACAACATAGACTCAATCAGCTGTTTGAAATAAATACATATTTGTTCTTTTCCAAAAACATGTGGTGAGCAACATTTAAGTGAAGGCATTAAAAGTAACATCACATATCTTTTCTGAAGATTTTGCCACATTTTGATGTGAATCGCTTTGTAACTGTAGTATTAGTTCACATCCACATGACAGGAAACCTTCAACAGGAAGTCCTGCTCGAACCAAAGATTGTCAAAATGATCACCTTTTCCCCAAACTATAAACTTCAGAACAACAACTGGGGGGGTGAAGTGAAGAGCTCGACGCTCGTGAACTGTCAACCGGAGGGCGGGGGGAGCCTCGCTGCGGGGAGGCAGTGTGTGCGGAACTTAAATGATGCGGTTTAAACAAATTTAAATAATTGCTTTAAACGGCATAATATTAAGGACGACCGTCCGTTCTGTGATTCTCCAGAACACACATGGCCAGTCCGCCCCTGTGTAGCATATTATTTTCGATGAGAGATGAGCAGATCGCCACTGGGCTTTCAACTAAAGACACAGGCACGCAAAAACTGCGGCATTTGTACAGCTCCTTATGGGTACTACTGCAATTTGTGAAGTGTGAGCGCGCTCCGGCAGCACTTCACCCCTGATCGTTTCACCACGGAGGAAAACATCAGCAAGTTGCCTGGAGTTAAAGAGAGCGGGGCTGCGTTGCGTGCATGGCTTCCTTCTGCAGGTAACAGGGAGACGCGCTCTGGCGGCGGTCTCGTTCAGGATCCAAAAATAAAATGTAAATATTTTGCACACTTATTCCACTTATTCCTAGTGTGCCACTGGTTACGGCGCCGCGTGCCAATGGTTGCCGACCCCTGCTCTATATGTTTAACCGGCCACTCCTTTGGTGTCATATGCAAGATTAAATGTGATTACTCAATATCTGTAAAATCCCTGATTTCTAATAATAATAGTAATTACTGCTAGTAGTACAGAGGTGCAGCAGCTGTGTGTATTGCCCAGTCCTCACTGTCTCTGTCCCTCCACAGGCCACGGTGCTAGAGGAGATGCCTCCGTTCCCAGAGAGAGAGTCCTCCATCCTGGCCAAGCTGAAGAAGAAGAAGGGCCCCGGCAAGGTGCCCGACATGGACGAGGCCCGCTGGAATGTCAACGGCAACACGGAGCACAGCGAGAACACGGAACCAACAAACAAGGTAACTGCACAGCTTTCTGTAATAATAGCTTTACGTTAGAGTATAGAAAACCTATTCTGCGTATATCGTGTTGCTTTTACTGCTTTGCCTTCATTCTACCTTTATTCCTCTATTAGAACATTTCCTTGATCTTCAACTGTACTTGTCTTTTCTCCTACTTCACCTCTTCACCCTTCTATCTTCTCTTCTTGTTCTTTTCCTTCTCCATCAGTCTTCTCCTCCTTCTCTGGTGGCAGACCTGCTTCCTACCAACAGACCCCGTCCTGCCTCCTATAGTCCCACAATCCTCTCTGCTGGGAACATGGTATATCGATAGCTAGAATCCATACGAATTACAGATAGGAATTGCATAAGAGGTTAATGAAGAGTTTGATATTATTGTGCCGGTTGGATCACCCTAATTCAGTGTTTGTTTTGGATGTAGTCTTGGTCTTACACTTTAGATCAGAATGCTTTCATTACTTTTAGTCACATTTTGATTAATTGAGTCTAGTTTTGGTTGACCAACGCTTTTTTTAAATGTAGTCTTAGTCTTCTCTCAATTGTTGTATTGTAGTCATCAGATTATAATGAACATTTTAGCCTGTCTAGTGTAGCATAAGCCAATAATTGTTTACGTGTTTAACAGACAGAGAGATGGGAGGGGACGAGAATAAGGGGGAGCTTTTAGTAAATAGTATAACATTAGTAATATTAGTGTAGCCCCATATTTATCTGCAGTTGTGCACATATACAGGCTTTAAACATAATAATAATAATGTCAGCCAAAAACAAAGCTGCAGAGCATTCAAATGTGTATGATGTTCATTTGAATGTCACCATTACAAATGAAGCATCTAACTATTCAGTACAGCCGTACTATAGTCTAAAGATCTTCAGTCATCGGCCCCTTACAGAAGTTGACCACGTGTCTAAGAATCCGAATCTGATTATTGCCAGGTTCGTTTACACATACAAGTGTTAGTGTTTGTTGGTGCAAACATAAACATTATAAGTATATTATAAAAAGAAAATATTATTTTTGAAACTATTCAGCATTAAGTAAAAGAATGAAGACAAGTTTTTACACCAAATTTAAATATACAATAGAAACTAAACTTAAAAAAAAAAAAGATGAATATGACAAACTGCAGTGTATTATATTATATTTTAAAGTGGAGGGTTGTGCCGAAATGTGCAAATATATTTCCTTTATAAAAAGCAATTGAGCTTCAGTTCCACTTAAATGTTTCAGCTCTAGAAAACATATAATTAATTACATTATTTTAGAATTGTATTTAGCCTGGCATTGTGGCCCTCATAGTTAATTACTACTTGTGTAAAAAAACAACACTTTAGTTTCAAGATTCAATGCTTTATAGAGTGGTGCAGTGACGAGTCCTAAAACCCGGAAGTGAGTTAGCATTTTAACCACTTCCTGTTCCCTTGTCTCAGAGTCAACGGGATCTCTCCATAGGATTGTGGAAAATATCTGGAAATAAGGTCTGTGGTTGAGACACATTGAAGAGGCGGATCACGTTTTGTTCTACGACATTAAATCCATCAGCAGTTACCCCACTGGTGATTTCTGAAGAGTTGACGTGTCTGAAAAACAATGGTTGTTAACAAGTGGCCGAATAGGACTACAGAAGTTGTCGAGGACGTTGTACGTCATTACGCCGAACACGTAAACACTCCTCTAAGTTTGTTTGCCCTGTTCTGCTTGAAAGCAAGTACCTGCCTCCTGCAAACTGTTCAAACAAACGCTTCAACTTGTACCATTTAGAATCTGTATTTCTGAATATCGATCTTAAGTTGGCGTGACGTTGAAGTCGTGCGACTCTGCTGTACTTGGCTGTGGTTCGTTTATAGCATTTTGCTTCTGGCGATTAGATTTATGATTAGAAAATTATAAAAGTAGGGTAGACATGTGGATATTATCCGGCTGAACAAAACGTGCATTTATCGGCTTCGTTTTCCACAGACCTTATTTCCAGCTATTTTCCAAAATCCTATGGAGAAATCCCGTTTTTTTTAATCGAGGGAACCCATGCACAGCTTACTTCCGGGTAAATACGTCACCCCTGCACCACTCTATAGTCATGTGCACAGTAGCTACAGTGTAGATATGGCAATGAAAAACGTAAGTCCCAGTCTCCTCCTTATTGTGCTTGTGTGTATTATGTGTGTATTATGTGTGTATTAGGTGTGTAACAGTGCATGTTTGCTGGTGTTTCTCTGGCAGGCCCCCAGCCACCCGTTCACAGACCTGCTGAACATGAACTCCAGCCCTGCAGCCGGAGCTAGTCTGTTAGTGGACGTCCTGTCAGACCTCTCCTCCCCCGCACCCGCCCCCACCACCGGACCCGGACCCACTGATGTGTGCGAGGAACACTTCTCCAGGTGAGATATATATTAATATGAAATTGTGATTTAGTGTGAAACAGATTAATATAAGAAAATCCAAACTACAGACACTGAGGTATCCTGCCACTATTCTCTAGTACTGGATATTGCATTTCCCATAATGCAACTGGATAGTTTATTTTATTGGACCCATTTTACCTGCTAAACCCTCACTCCCCTAGTATGTTTTTTTGATTTTTTTTTACCATAGATGGTAAATATTTGATTGAATTGTATCAACATGTACATGCCTCTGTATTGATTATGTTAGTTTAGTCATCTTATCTTAGCCTTTTGTATCTGCAATGGCCCTTCTGAAACAATGTACATTTTTACTGCTATTGGATCAATTAAGGATTTATGATTTATATGTACATATTTGAAAAGCCTGTCTGCAACTTTTACAATTAAGCTGAAATATTCTGCTAGCGTTACATTTTGACACAAAGTAATAATAATTAATTGAATTTATTTGAGCACTTTTCCAAGTGCTCAAAGCGCTTTACATACATATTAAATATATTGGACATAGTAATTCATTGACTACTGTAGACAATACCCACAGGAGCAATTTAGGGGGAGGTAGGGCTGCTCGGTTATGGCAAAAATCATAATTTCGATTATTTGGGTCAATAATTGATATCACAATTATTAAAAACGATTATCCATTTACTTTGAAAACATGAATTTATTGGAGAAAAAAATGTGAACAGTATGTTTTTAACAGTTGATTACCCTGAACTTTAAGCATAATTCAACTGAAAAACGAATAAAAAAAAAAATGTAATTTGAAAAAAAAAGAGAAAAGTAATAATAAAAGAATTATCGTTTTATTTCGATTACGTTGTTTTCGTAATCGTTGCAAGCCATAATCGTAATTGCGATTAAAATACGATTAATTGAGCAGCCCTAGGGGGAGGTGTATTGCCCAAGGACACAAGGGCATGTTTACTGTGATGGGGGGTCAAGGTGGGATTGAACCTGTGCTTCCCTGCCCCCCCGATCTGATGATCAGCACACTAAACCTCCCCTAACTAAGCATATGGGTTGACAAAGTGCAAACCATATGTTCTCTATGGTCTTTTTTGTACTTTTATAATCATTTTGTGCCTTTTTAAAATTCCAGGTTTGTTTGTAAGAACAACGGTGTTATCTTTGAGAACCAGCTGCTGCAGATTGGACTGAAGTCTGAGTACAGGCAGAACCTCGGTAAGTAGATATTAGTCAACAGTATTTATTTTGCACGAGTTCTGCATCTTTTTTTTCTAATCTCATCCGTTGGCAGCATTAGAGATGTAGAAAATAACATGTGAAATGGGATGAGTAATCATATGACTTTGAAATGTAGTGCATAGTGTAGATAGTTTACCTTCTATCCTCCCACAGGTCGCATTTACGTGTTCTACGGCAACAAGACATCTTCCCAGTTCCTCAGCTTCTCCTCATCAGTGACAAGCAGCGACACGCTCAAGACTCATATCCTTCCACTGCTCCGACTTCTTCTTACAGACCTGAGTGTACTTAAAGGGATCGTTTGTGTGAGGTTGTTCATGGTTGGTGTATTAAAACCACTCAATGGTAGTTGCCCCACACTCAGTTTGGAGAAACAGACAGGATTTGTCACAGGAAGGCAAAGCAATATACTGCCCACTAGTGCTAAGACCTTGTTATCAAGTGTAAGCTATATTAAGAATATTTCACTGCTTTACCTTGCTGTCAGACAGCCCTTTCCGACGTGTAACTGATGCCGTTATATCCATCTATGCTCTCGCCAATGCCACCAGACACAATCTGAAAAAAAACATGATGTTGTGATGCTGGTCAACTGCTGCCTCCACCATTCAGTTTGTTTGAGTTAATGCTTGACTTTGGTTTGTTTGGATTCAACAAAGTCACAATCACACAAACAAGCTAACTGATTAAGACAGCACTATACCAGTAACTCCTGTGTACTGCTTTGTAGAATTTTTCTTTTTCTCAATGGAGTCTGATGGGTATGTTTGAGAGCATAGAAAACTCCCAGCTCCCTTTCGGAAACATGGACTGTTTAGCTGTCACATGGCAAGCAAAGCAGTGAAAGTATTCTCCATATAGCATACACTTACACAAACATCTATTTGTTTTTCTTGGTAGGCCTTTCTTTTATGTTCCTAAAATATTTGTCCTGCTGCCCCTGACCACAGCGGGACATTAGTATTAGCTTCCATGTGATAACTCCCATCTGTTTCACCAAACTGGGGGTGTGCCCAGCGTAATTGACCTTAGTTTATACACTGACTTTGGATAAGTACCTCATACAAAACATCCAAATTAAGTTTAAAATTGTCAAGGACTCTCCGCATACCACTCAAACTGTCAAGAAAAAACTATTCGAGATTAAAACAAAACCCACGATGTGAATGGGTGGTAAACTTTTTGTTATGTTTGCCAGTGTCATTTAAGTGTCTGTGGAGTCCTTGACCTTATCCCCACAGCTGAATGTCCACACTATGCCAGTGGACCCCACAGTGGAAGGGGGGGCTCAGCTCCAGCAGATCCTCAACATCGAGTGTTTGTCAGACTTCTCAGACACACCGGTCCTCAACGTCCAGTTCAGGTCGGTGTCTGAATCAAACTTTTGTTTCTCGTGTATCAGGTTCCTCTATGTGCTCATTCCCGACTCTGTGTGTGAACAGATACGGGGGAACTCTTCAGAACATCGCAGTGAAACTCCCTGTGATGCTCAACAAGTTTTTCCAGCCCACGGAGATGACATCGGAAGACTTCTTCCAGCGCTGGAAGCAGCTCGGAGTGTAAGGCTTGCTTTACATCATCAATGCACCACGGTCCCTTGCTTCCATAGCATTGGTCTATGACAGTGACCATCAACTGGCGGGCCACAACACAAAGCCAGACATTCTCATCCGGCCCGCACGGCGGGGGTGGAGTGGTTAGTGCGTTTGCCCCCCACTTCTTTTTTACAACGTCTCGTGAGTAATGTGCAGTACCGGAGTCCAACAGAGAGGCAGCAGCTGCGGGACAGTAGACTGCGTACTGCGTAGCCTTCCCTGCCCTGAAGAAGAAGTGATCCTTCGTTAGCGTGAAGAGTCTGCTAAGCTTTATGCGCTCCGCAGTACCTGAGCGTGCTCCACTATTATTTTAATCACGTTCTCATATTGCGATTACTAATGCAATAGGTTGGATTTAGTACTGACGACACATATTGCTTCTTTTACCTTCCATAAGCTAAATGTGTCAAATATATTTAGTTTTTTATCTCAAAGAAGCTATTTTAAGCTAGCTTTGAGAAATGGGATTTTCTTTTAAATGAATTGTGGACCAAATAATGTATTAATTTACCAAAGAAATAATCTTTATATTGAGTAATACAAAGGTTCAGATGGCCGGTTCTATATTAGATCTTGTTCCAAGATGATAAAACATCTGGATGATCCAGGCCAAACATTGTGCAACACTCGGGTAGCTGGCCTTTTATTTTTAGCTGCTTCTGACCGTTCTCCTAAGTTTTATGTTAAATTACCTGTACCTAATTCATATTAAAAGAATGCTTAATCCACAACATTACAATTGGTTCTCACCCACCATTAACTTGAATTTTTAAAGAAATTTTTTAAAGTAAAGGATGAACAACCTATAATTTTGTTGTAGAAATATTCCTTTAAATAAAGTTTTCGCCCTTTAACAAGTCATTATGTTGTCTCTCTTCTGTCTCCTCAGTCCTCAGCAAGAGGTCCAGACAATCTTCAAAGCCCAACACCCCATGGACACAGACGTTACCAACGCCAAGGTACAAAAAACTGCTTCACTGTACATGAAACCACTGTGTGTGGGGGGGGTGTAGGACTCATCTTGAAATGCTGTAATGTGAGCTGTTTCACCACTCGAGAAACTCTGAACGGATCATTTAACGGTTCACTGAATTTATAGCAGCTACAGTAGCTTTGTAACCAGGTGAAAGTTTAAGCGACCCTCAGATGGTCTTGAGTGCCTTTTTTAATTTCAAATAAGAAACAAAAAGATTGCAGATAATGTTCTGCAGTTAACCATCTGCACCAACATGAATGTTTTGTGACCATCTCTGTAACACTGGTTAGCCTATAGGGTTGGTCAGCCAGGATATCAAAGTCAATCCACATCTTGAGTCAAGGGGTGTGTTTCACTTCTCTTATTTTTCATTTCCTCGCTCCTCGATCTCGGTATCACCGGAAGTTGATTTGTCTGCGCCATCTTGAGTAGCGTCCCAGTGGCCTTATTTGTGACGGAGGATCGAGTAGTGATAACGGAGGAGAGATAATCGAGGAACTACCAGACCATCCTCCGGTGAAATCCTCAGACACTCGCCCCGCCCCCCTTACTGTGTATCGCTCACTGATTGGACGATGCAGCGCATGCACTGAGCTGGCTGCTGTCAGACGATCAGTTGTGCGGCGTCATCACAAACGGACGTCGCTTCACGTGACGCTCCGGAGGAAAGGACGTCCCATTGCTCTTAAAACTCATTTCCCTGCTTCTCGTGGTTTCCTTGCGTCTCTCCATGCTTCCCTGGTGGGAGGGACTAGACGCAGGGAAACGACGCAAGTGAGGGACGCAAGGAATCCATTTAACCGAAGTGAAACGCACCCAGGGTCCATTAAGGCCACGTTGCAGTTGACTTCAGCTCAACTCTTTCTGCAATGCGATATGACGTAATCCAAGTGAGCCACTGCATTGACCAATCACAGACTTGCAAGCACACATTACATGTTACTTGTTAGACGCTTTTATCCAAAGCGACTTACATACTCAATACTGTGACCACCTGATCCCAACACCAAGGCTCTATCCACTGCGCCACACGCCTCACTTTCCAACATGAGCACAGTATTTCTACTGTTTACCAAACAACTTGTTCATCTGGTACTCCAACCAGACTTGTATTATAAACTCCCTCTGGTGTAGACTATGGGATTTTAGCAGTGGCGAACCGTCAGGGCCTTCAAGGTATTCAGAGAATACCCTGGAACACTCAGATAAAACAAACACAAAATCAATTTAATTATATAAATAAAATTAATAAATGAGAATCGTATCTGTGTTGTTGATCTGTAATATTACAGTGTTACATTGATTTGTTTGTCCTTCTCGGACCATGCACGACGCATTTCAGTGGTTTTGTTTTAGAAAATAAATGCAACCAATCAGATCTGTTTCTGGGTCTCTGGGTAGAATATCCTTCAACCAAGGTATTCTATATCCTTGATAGAATGCCCTGGCCGTTGCACTGAATGAGAGCGTACATTTGGATTGACAGTTTGATCAACCAATCATATATTGATTTGTAGCCAATGGGCGTATTCTTTCAGAGTTTCCCTCGGTTCCAGGGTATTCTAGAAGGCCCGGTAGTTCACTGGCTCGAGACAGAGGATCCAGATGAATGCCACAAAGCAATTCATGCCGTTTTATTGTTTTTAACGTTGAAATGTTAAGTGCAACAGGTGAAGATGATGTTGTTGCGGAATTGTTGTGAGTACCCTTTTCAAGACGACAATTCAGTGAAAAGATGGAAATTATAACGGCGGGGGGCGCGGCGGGGTGTGTGTGTCTACAGAAGGTCCAGTTGTGATAGACACGGTTCGCCACTGGATTTTAGCCTTCGCAGACCATTTACATGCACAATAACCTACACACTACAGGGAAGGGAAAACTCCAAAAAGCAGAATAGGGCCTCTTTAAGACTACACTTACTGATGTTGGTGGTCCAAGGTGATGGTCAGCATCACAAAACACAATTCTAACTTTTTCTGACCACATGGTATTATCATATCGTATGATGAATACGATATGAATACTGGGCAGTTTTGGGCAGACAGGGATGTAAACCCCTCCTTCACTGGTTGGTGAGTGTGATATTTCATGTTTATTTTGTCATCTTCTCTTCTGTAACTTACTCTGCAGATCTTAGGTTTTGGGGTAGCTCTGCTCACTGGGGTGGATCCCAATCCTGCAAACTTTGTGGGAGCTGGAGTCATTCACACCAAGAACACTCAGGTGGGCTGCCTCCTCAGGCTGGAGCCCAACCCACAGGCAGAGGTACACACACACACACACTCTCACCTGTCCTTGTTTTGTACCATCAACCATAAGTGGGTTTGCAATGTATGTTGGAATAAAATGAAGATACATATGTCAACGAGTGGGGAATTCAATATATATTACTACTTGTGAATTTAAACGAGTAGTACATTTCTGAAAGCTTTCCCATCTTATGTATAGCAACACGTTGTCTGCCGTAATCTTTTTCTAATGATATTATAAGGCGGAAGTTTAAACAAGCCATTTGGTATGGTAAAAGAGTCAAATGACGCACCAAGCGCCCCCTTTTATGTGACGGCTCACAGAGCCCGGGGAAGAAAGCTTGAGTTGATAACCACCTTTGTAGAACCTGTAATGATCAGAACACCCACAGGGGGGAGCAGATGATTTCATTGATTTAAAAATGATCATACTGCTTCCGCTCATAAAGAAAGTGTGTTCCACTGCGTCACGCTCACTAAACTGCAGCGACAGCATCATGGATCCAAAGTGTCCTGCTCTCCACAAATATGAAAATGAATATTAATAAAGAATGGTGCTTTTGGATGGAGAATACTAATGTGGGTTGTCCACAGCTGACATTACATTGTCCAGACTTCTCTCTGCCGATTGATACGACTGCACATGGTCCCTTGATCCTTCTCAAAAACGGTCTGTTCTCCTACCAGACCTCTGGAGTGTCCAAATGTACCATCAGAATTTAGTATTCAACTAAGCAGTGTAGTAATAATTATTATTATTATTATTATTATTATTATTTGTAAAGCACCTTTCATTGCTAAAAGCAATCCCAAAGTGCTACAAGGGACATAAAATACATACTTAAAAACACAAGTTTAATAGTTTAGTGTAATAACCATGGCTCTGCAGTACCTCCCCCCCCATGTCTCTGTGTAACTGTGCTGTCCCCCTGCAGATGTACCGCCTGACGCTGAGGACCAGCAGGGAGTCGGTGTCTCAGAGACTGTGTGACCTCCTCTCTGAGCAGTTCTAGCTCCTCACCTTCTCTCTCCCTTTAGTTAGCAAATGATGTATTGTACAGTGTAAATTCTCTTTTTTATTTTACCTACTCCACATGTAAATGGGGTGAAATGTATTTTCCACACGTAGCTTTACTAATGCGTCACTGCTTTAAACCTGCCTTGTACTTTGTGTGTGTGTACTCACACTGAGTCCCCCTGTTCTGAGTGTGTGTTTGCTGCTCACTGCCTCTCTGTCAGACATTGTGAAGAGTTTACTAGGACCCATAATTAAAGTTATTTCACAATCCAGTCTATAAAGCTTAATTATCCGCTTATAGCACTGTAGAATTAGAAGCCCTCATTAATATGCATAATGTTATGTCATTATAAGGTACTCTAATTGTTTGTTCTTTGCTTTGAGTAAAGTTACAAAATAAATAAATCTATGCAAAAACAACACACTAAACCTAAGATGAATTGTGACTCGAAGCAACCAATGAGCTCTCAGTGTAATTTGTAATCGCATTATGAGTGGTTATAATGTATAACAGTTATGGGATTTCTAATTCACTAGAATCCTTGAAACAACAAAACAATATAGGTATAAGTCATTATAAAATGCTTTCTAATTTACAGCTAGATGACAGCAGGATTTAAGCTGTAAGCAGATTATAACACATTATTAGTGAGTGTTAAAATGCATTATAGACATGAACTGTTAGGATCTTTCCACTGATCTCAACACTGAATCCAGTTGTTCTGATCAGAGCTGTACTCTTTATATTTTCAAACACGTCGCACAGATCTCAGAGGCTTTCCTCCACTTCTCCCACACTTTGCACTCGCTGGATAAAACAGTTGGATCACAAGAGTACATCAGATAGGTTTAGACGAGAACATTTCACTTATTGTCATCTCAGGAGGAAAAACAAAGCTTTATATTGTGATACTTTTTGGAAAGTAAAAAATAGCTTTGGATGCTACCATTTTGTTTCCTGTGGTGAGAATTGTTGAGCTACGTTGTGCTGACAAATTTACACCAAATTTTAGGCGGTTGATGAGAATGGCAAAAAAAAAGAAGTAGCTAGGAAATTGATCCATTTTTGATAGTTAAGAAGTTCACTGTCTAATAATGTTATCTACTTAACTCCACACAGCTGTGCCTGTTTGTTACTCTGTCAACAACAGAACACGCCTTTAAATACGGAGCAATGTTATATACATAAATATATAAACATGTAACCATGCCACACAAAGCACTGCCACACTATCACACTACTACTTGCACCTAAATGCATCTGTTCACTGCCCAACTGGTCATTTCTATATTTCAACAGTGTATCTTCTGTTTTATTAAATATACTTTTATAATCCTTGACGGCATATCTGATGCTTTGCTTCAAAGACTGGCCTAAATGTGAAACAAAACGTCTTTCCACCACCTCTAAAGCAGTGTACAAATGAAACTGCCATTTTCAAAATATTTACAATTGACCTGATAAGGTCTCATTTTTACACTGCTCTTTGTATGCATTTAACAAAAAGGACATCATGTGTTTTGCTACCATTGCACTGAGCTAGGCTAGCTTAATGCTACGCTTACCATCTCCTGGCTGTAGCGTTATACGAACCGGCTGATATAAGAGTGATATTAATCCTCTTAGCAAGAAAGGGAATAAAGGTATGTTGATGGTTCATAATTATTGATCAGTAACATCAGTGTGAAATGGTTTGGCTCTAAGGGCACCTTCATCTGGACTCATGTTTTAACAACGGCTACGGGCACATAACCCATCATAAGGTTTCACACGGTCATGGTCCCTTACTTTACTCCGGCTCAGGAGTTTTCAGAAAGGTCAAATATCCCAGTTTCACGCTGCGCCTTCTGCAGCTTCATTCAAGAAAAACTAAGGGATTTAAAACGGGGTGAAGCTGTATATGACCAGTAGACAATAAGCGCTGGTGTTCTTTCACCCTGTTTAGGGAACAGTAGCATAAGGTCAACATGTGTCCTGTTGGAGGAACTAACTACATGTTCAACTTTTATTTGCTGATGGCTGGAAACACCACTTTAATTGAATGCTGAAATGTGAAATAACGCTTCTGTTAGCTAACATATTTGCCTTTGTTGGAGTCTTTATAAGATCATATATCAATGTATGTAGTGCTTAAACTTATATGTATCATTATGGCATTAAAATGTCTAGACATATTATATTTGTGTTTACATTATTTGAACCCAAGCCAACCCAGAGAAATGGGTAATTTTCCGTTATAGCTTTTTTCTCTTTAAAACCTGGATTTACCCACAAATATTTGTTTAATCGAGTTTAATTTTACTCAGTTACTAGAATTGTTTTCTCTCTCTTAAATTTAGGAAATTATATCTTACAGTTTAGGCCTATCTTTACTTAAATCTCCAACTAACTGCTTCCTGCAGGTACAGTTCTGTTCAGGTGAAGTACGTTGTGATCCTGAACCGTGCTTTACAACTCTTTGGTTTGGAGTTTGGGTCCTCGGTACTTTATCTAGTAAACAGTTTTTACTATCAGTGGATCAAGTTGTCTCGATTCTGATGTTTTCTGTGCCTTCTGAGGTGTGTTCAGTCTCTGTGCTGGACACATATTTGAAAAGAAGAAAAGGCTGGATATCTTGTTTCTATTTAAATGTAATGTCATTTCAACATCCAAAAAGTGTTTTCATGAATAAAAAATGATGCCTTTGTAAACACATTAAAACGTACATTGCTTGTTGAAGGTTAAATGAACAGTATTATTATACAGTACAGTGGAAACTTTTTGTATCACTCGGTTTATGAAGATTTTGAACTGAATCATTCTTATAAATGCCGTTTCAATATTTTTCTTATTTGTAATCAAGTACTCCATACAGTATTTACATTTGCAAAGTAAATTGAAAGTTGTTTAAATCTGTAAAAAGCATTATGATAGTCATATAATACAATACAAAACAGTCAATAAGATAGTATAAAGAAAGAAAGAGAAAATGGTTATAATTATCTGCATTTATCAATTTGACCCAGAGAAGCATGATCACTATAGGTGGTTTCAACTATACTGTATATTCAAGATAACTTGACTCACAATTAAACAGGCTCTTATATAAACTGCTGATCTGCACTCAGTTCAGTGGAGCAGGTAGAGACAGATGTGTTTCTTTGGAAGAGTCAAAAACAGCTGCAGCAGGTTCCCTCCATTACCTGTGTTTTAGAGAAGCGCTGACGGGGAAAGAAGTGGTAACGGCTGATATTTGTATCCCGATTTCATTGGATGTGTTAATAGCAACACGTTTAAATATTAAAGTGGACATATTTTCCTAGTTTCAGATTCATATCAGTATTTACTGCCTCTAGCCTACTGTGTCATGTCCCCATGCTTTAATGTTCAAAAAGCTCTTTATTTTTCTCATACTGCCTGTGCTGTAGGGCTGTATCCGAATATTCGTACTATTCGGGTTTCAATTTCGTTATTCGGGATATTCGTATTTTCTTTCTTTTTTTTTTACTGCGGCTGCCAAATTGAATTTATTGAAATCTCCGATATCAACAAACACAATGCAATATCCTTTTCAATTTCAAAGAACACAAATTGGTAGTGATGGCAAAATGAAGCTTTGAATGAAGCATCGAACCACTTGGACAATTGTGTCGGAAATAGGTTCATTTCTCGAAGCTTCAGTTACAGCGACCTCTCCTGGCGAAGTGCAAGGCTGCAGTGGGTTTAATATATCTTTGCCTTGAAAAATATTCGATGCACACACACACTAAGACTGAATATCATGTTCTATTTGCAATTAAAGATTGATAATTGTGTGTATTGGGTTATTAGCCGCGTTCACACCAAGTACTTTGCCGTACTTAGTTCCCAGCACTTAGTTCCCGGCACTTAGTTCCCCTATGGAACTAAGAGCCGATCGCGTTCACACCGGAATAAGTTCCCTGAGGGAAGATTACGCAAATGAGCCGCTGACGTCACTTCGTCTTCTTCTGCTTTGGGTTTACTGGCAGGCCGCAAACAACTTCACGGCGCATACTGCCACCCGAAGTCCCCGGGCGGAAGTCCCCGGAGTTGGGGACTGGCTTCAGTAGAAGCTGCTGGGACTCCCAGCAGCTTCTACTGAAGCCTTCCGAGTAAATCGCCAGAACGCCGACACCTCATCTCCACCGCTCCCATGTTGCCATAAGTTAGTCTCTCTGCGTTTGTGCGCTGGGCGAATGCTAATGCTAATAATGCTAATGCGAGGATAATAAAATGGCGGCTCTACAAAACATTTCAGAGTTTTACGGGGCGTGGTTTGCAATTCGCCCAGCCAATCAGAACTGGGGCACTTTTTTCCCCCAGGAAAGTACCATCTCTCAGCAGGCACTAAAAATGGGGGTAAAAGTTCCCGGCACTAAGTACTCTTTTTGGTGTGAACGCGACATAAGGGGTACTAACGGAACTAAACGCGAAAAGTACAGGGAAAAGTACTCCAGTGTGAACGCGGCTAATGAGAAGAGACTAGAGAGTGCTGGACATTGTTTTGGGCGGAGAGGGCCTTTTATCAGTTATTAAAGTATTAAAGTTGAAAAGCAATGATTAAAAGTTCATCCATTCCGGGCTTTGAACCAGCTGCGCGGAGGACATCGCCGCATTCGGGCCGCCGGCTCTATCCACTGGCTATCTATTCCTTAAAGGAAACCTATCATGCTATATTTAAATTATATATTGTAGGGCCATACCTATATAAGGTATATTTATACGTTTCTGTTTTCAAAATACCAAACAGATCATGCATTTTAGCCATGCCTCATTTCGCTCTATGTGCTGTTTGCTGTCTACGGGTCTGATTCTGCTGACCACGCCCCCCCTGCAGGAGAGGTGAGCCGTGCTCTGATCAGCTGCTGGGCTGTCAGAAGAGGGGGAGAAAAAGAGATCTCCGTCCTCCTGTTTTATTATATAGAGTCGTTATTCATTTGTTTTAAAGCTCAATAAATAACAAAGAAGACCTCTGACCGGCACTTTTCTAATTTTGTCCGGAAGATTTAAACTTTAACGGACATCTTGACCGGCGAAACAAACTGAAACTGAAACTCTGCCGCACGGTCCCCTCGTTCCTTGGAAGAGGCGGAGAGGTGGGTGTTTGTCATCTGCTGGTGGACTAACCGGAGAGAATTACAGTGCTTGCCTCGACGGGGAGGGATTGCATTGCAGCGGGAGCAAACGCTTGCCTCGGGGAGGGAGAAAGAAAGCCACAGCGGAGAATAAACAGAAGGGTAACCATGGTAACCAAGTCTTCTTCGCTGCTTTTGTGGCAGACTACAGCGCCACTTACAGGCCTGGCATATGTACTACAGCGTCTCCAGCGCTTTCGAACGACAATGGCCGTGGCTGTCTCCTCCTGATTGGTGGAGTTGGCCCAATAGCCGTAGCGCCACCGTCCTGACGTCAGGACAGTGTTCAAATCTGGATCAGTTTTTATCAGATCCTTTGCAGCCCCTTTTTTAGAGATTTGGGTATGGAGGAAAATAGAGAGGGTTGTGTTTTCTGACACTTGGTGAGTTCCTTGGAACACCAGGGACACATATTCATGTATAAAAGACGTACAAAAGTGCATTTTGCATGATAGGTCCCCTTTAAATTATAGAGCTGTTTTTATATTACTCATTGTCTTTTTGTTCACAACTTCTCCACATTTCGAAGTGTTTCCCGAGCCAGAACGACCTATCTTTCTTCCTGGCTTGCTCTATAATGATCCAATTCAAATGCACTACCAACAACTCAACAGCAACAACGCAAACTACGACAACAACCCACACATTGCGCATTGTTTAGAGCGGTTATAAAGTGTTGAAGCGCTCAAATTCGAAACTGTTTCGACCTGTCACCTGTCAGAATAGAGACGAGGCAGTGCATTGAATCGCGTGATTGGACCGCGAACCAGTCAAGTGATTCATTCAGGAAATGAAGCAGTTGCTGGTTCGGACGTCACATGTCACGTGATTTGAAGCAGTTGCTGCTTCTGACGTCACATGTCACGTGATTTGAAGCAGTTGCTGCTTCTGACGTCACATGTCACGTGATTTGAAGCAAGCTTCGAATCACTGCTTCTATGGAATAGGAAGTCCACGGTTGAAGCTCCGTTCGAAGCTTCAGTGTCAAACTGCCATCACTACAAATTGGATTGTATACATTAACAAATCTATAAAACAACAATACTGTAGAATAACAAAATGAATGCCGTGAATAAAACCGAAATACACGTGTTGAAGCGGTTCGCTGCTGATTACTACGCACGTCACCCCATTCAAAGTGAATGGGAAGAAGCGCTGAAGCTTCAACGCACGCCGCCGTGTGGACGGGCCGTCACTGTTCAAGAAGTAACCAAAGGAGTCCAATGGAGCCATTTCATACACATTCACACATCATGGCCATCAGGAGCAACCCAAGGACACATCGACATGTTGACTGCACGGCTGGGATCAACTCACGACCTTCTGGTTTAAAAACTAGCGCACTCCCTCGCAGCCACAGTAACATTTAAACATGGGACGTTGTTGCCTGAAAGGAGCTGTCATGAATTTACTTTTTATTCAGCGTAAGCCAAACTTTAACCTGATCTAATATTCTAGTGATCAGATGTCTGGATCTTAAGTTTTCAGAGAAACTAACGTTAGCCGCAGCCAAACCGCATTGAAGAAACACTGATTTTGAACCTGCTTTATTTCGAACTTTTAATCACTGTTTTTGCTCGTTATGAAGAGGAGACGTCTGCTTTCGGTTCCCAGTAAGAATCTCTAAAAGCGTGAGGAACTGGGAGAAATCTGACTACAAAGACAAACTAGGATCCCATAACACCACCAAACTATTGTCATTGCTTTGATTCAGAGACCCGTAGGTGCAGATTAGTGCTTTTTAAACTAAAATATACACTCAACTTGAACAGAAACATTCTTGCGGTTCTTATGCAGACATTTTTTTAATTTGCCTTCACTTTTGGAGAACTTTAAATCTGCAAATAAACAGTCAAAAGCTTCAAAGTGTATTTTATTTGAAATTCCTAAGCAGAGGTACTAACACCCTGATACAGTGTGATTGGATTTGATCCAGAGTATATGACTCTTCAGGCACAGTATTTGAGTGCGTTTAAAAAGAAAGACTTGATTGTGGCGTACAAAAACTTTATTTGTGCTAATAGAGAGGCGAAGTCCCTCCCCTTCGGTGGACCTCCATGGGACCTTATTTCGGGAAAATTATGTATTGAAGTCAATGGAGAGAGAAAGATTATCTTTCGATCCCGTTTGAATTGTGCCACGAATTACACATATGATGTTTGTCAATTTAAAAGATAATTTTGCAAGTCAAAAAAATAAAAATGTGTCGTAAAACTGTGAAGTAACTTTTTTTTAGTGTGAAACGCTCAATGAACTACATCTCTGGTCTCGCACAACAACACACGTCACCATGATGGCCGTCACTACTGTCTTGCCAAAAAAGGGATTTGCTACCCTCACTATCACCACAATGAAACACGTCCAGAAGAATGTCATGCAAAGCTGCCTGCCTTCCTTTGATTCTCCCTGAACTGCCTGCTCTTTTTAATGTTCAATGTCAACCATTTGTGCAGATAGCATGAAGTAGAAAAGATCGCCGATGCTAATGTAGCATTAGCGTTAGCATTTCTCGGCCGGGGGCATCCGGGCTTAAACGGTGTATTATAGAATGATCACACCGGTGTGACAGTACTCTTCAAAGGGTTCACGAAATATGACTACTACTCTTACTGTTTAACATTTTGGGTTACTTAATGTTACTTCATGTTAAGGCTAATAAAAATGACAAGACTAAGGCTGTAATGCTAACTAACGTGCTTGCTACTAGCTAGGTAGCTAACTTGAAAGTGGGCTTTCTTTTTGTTTTGGAGAGAACCAGGCTAGCTTTTTACACCTTCTAGTTATATGTTATTGGATTATATTGTGATACATTGTTTTGCCCTTATACTTGCCAACACATACAAATATTATTGTCTTGTGTCCACATGCACCACATGTCAATGCCTGACCTACTTACTGTATAGTGGCATAGATTACACACATCTCTTCAGTACACACAGCCTTCTATTGAGCGATACATATTTTTAAACTTGCTCTGGGTGACTACATGCAGCTCATGAACACTCAAAATTAAACCAAGTTAGTATTTGTCTGAGTCTATCCAAGAAGACAAGCTTGGCTTAAATCCAACAAGACAACAAATTATATAAGGGTCCTCTTTTTTTCTGTTTCTAGGATGTGGTTACAGACCACCTCTGTTCCTTACTTCTTACTTGCTACCCTTTTCCCTCAACCTATCCTAAGGGAGTGCATGTACGTAGACACGTTGTGCCTCTCCACCTCTGTTCCTTACTTCTTACTTGCTACCCCTTTCCCTCAACCTATCCTAAGGGAGTGCATGTACGTAGACACGTTCGTTTAGCTGCTATAGGCTTAGACTGTTGGGGGACACCTTACTTCTTCCTTCTGTCTGTCTGTACCTGTGTACTCTCATGTTCCGAATAACCCAGCTTCCCCCAAATTTCTTTTTGGTGTCTATCTACGCCGGGATCCTGAGTCGTGGCTGATCCTGTTGCTGTGGTCCTGTGTCCTGGATCCTCTATCCTGAGTTCTGGATTTGAGTCCTGGACTTCGAGTCGTGGCTGAACCTATCACTGTGGTCCTGCCTGACTCTCATCATACTACTTCCCTGATGGCTCCCACAGGATTGTTGACATCCTTGTGAATTCATCTTCTTATTATAGACACATGCATTTCCAAACATTTGGTCTACCTATGCTGTAAAATGTATTATCTCTTCGATTTACACACGGCATCTATTGCACGTCTGGCCGTCCTGGGAGAGGGATCCCTCCTCTGTTGCTCTCCCTGAGGTTTCTCCCATTTTCCCCTTTAAACTGTGGGGTTTTTCCATTGGAAGTTTTTCCTTGTACGATGTGAGGGTCTAAGGACAGATGGTGTCGTATTGTCATACTGATATTCTGTACAAACTGTGAAGTCCACTGAGACAAATGTCACATTTGTGAAATTGGGCTATATAAATAAACATTGATTGATTGATTGATTGATTGATTGATTGATCCAGCCACTCCTGGTCCTTTCATCAGACGGGAAGCGAAAGAACGAGCAAGACCCATTGCTGGTATGATTACAACCTGGTACAAAGCACACAGGCATCTTGTTAAAGTTATCTTATCTTAGCTATCTCTTATATTTAGTGGAGGAAAACAATTGTGACATCACTTACGCGACTCTGGGATTTGTAGTCTTTCTAGTTGTGTATTTTTCATAGTCTTATATTTCAACAGTTTTACGACAAACTGTGACTTTTTGACGTGGAAATGATTTTTTAAGATTGACAAACATCATATGTGTAATTCATGGCCCAATTCAAACTGGATCGAAAGATACGTTTTCTCTCCCCATTGACTTCAATACATAATTTTTAAAATAAGGTCCCATGGGTCGGAAGTAGATGGGCGGGACTTCGCCTCTCTATGTCACTATCCGTCCATTAGGTTTCCATGGTGACTGAACAATGATGTGTTCTTGTTAGGCAGAAGTAGAGGAAGTACTCAGAACTTTTCTTGCGCTAGTAAAGTATTGATATTCAAATATACTTTCATCATCAAAAGTACTCATTATGCAGAATGATATATACTGGATTATAATTATAGAGGTGGAGGTGGAGCTACCTTACATCCAATCAGGAAGCTTATATTTGCCTCCAAATTGTAAGTAGGAAATAGTTGTTGTTGTTGGGATAGCCACTCTAACTGCTTCATTTGGCACGGTCATGGCAGTGAAACCTCCAGGATTCAAATGTTTTCAGCCAAGTACAAAAATATGGAAAGGTCTCTGGTTGTGGTCCTGTGAGTCCAGGTGGAGCAGGACTCAGTCCTTATAGCGCACCTCCGCTCTGAGCTCCTTAGTGACGTAGTTCAGCAGCGCCGCGGTGACCTGTTGCTGCAGAGTCACGTTGCCCATCACCAAGGAAACGAGCTGGGCCGCATCCATCCAGTCCATGTTGTCCAGGACGGACACGATGTCATCGTAGAGCTTCTGTCTCTGGGCGGGGGGCAACTCCATCAGGATCTGAGGCAGGGGCCGGAACTGACCGCTGGTCAGCCAGCTGCCCAGCAGCCCCCCCACTGCTCCACCTGCCACACACAGAGGGGAGGAGGGGGTCAATAAATCACAAGGGCCATCAATAGCTGTAGGCATGATGCAGGCATGGAGTCAACAGACACCAGAGAAGTTATAGTTAAAGTAATTTTGTGTTGCTTTTGAGTGGTTTTGTATCTCTTTTAAGTCACTCTGTGTTTCTGAAGTTATTTTGTGTGTCTTCGTAGTTATTTCCTTTCTCTCTGTAGTCCTTGTGCATCTCCTTGTTGTAAGTTTGATTCTCTTTGGAGTCATTTTGTGTGTCTGTAAAGTCTCTTAGTGTTGGTTTCATGTATCTTTGTTTTACGTTTGTGACTTTTAATTGTCATTTTGTCTCTTGTAGTGCTTTAGTATCTCTTCGTGGTCATTTTGTGTCTCTTTATAGCACTTGTATGTCACTTGTAGTTGTTCTGTGTAACTTTTGTATTACTTTTTTTGTATTTTCGTGGTCAATTTGTGTCTTGTTGTAGTCATTTTGTGCTGAGAATTGGTTTTTCTGTTTGGATGTTTTTTGGTCATTGAGATTCTCTTTGCACCTCTTTGTTGTTGATGTGCTTTCTTGTGATCTACAGTCTATTGTTTGTACACATCTTTGAGTGACATTCTGTAGATGGAGGCCTGGGGGGCCCCTGACACTTTAGGACCACGGCCTGTGCCCTTAAACCCCTTTCTGAAAACTCATCCATGTATGGAACTCACTAATCTCACAATCTTGAAGCCCCCTGGCAGGATGGGCTACATGTGTACCCTCTGATCAGGCAGATGCACTGTTTCCCTCAGAAACAGGGCAGTTTCACAGACTGTCATTATGGTTTACTTTTGTATTCTTACCAACAGCGATCCCTGGAGGTCCTGCGAGCAGCCCGCCTACAAACGCAACTCCTCCGGCCGCCAGCGCTCCTTTGGTGGAGTTTTTCACTGCCGCTTTGATCTGATCGTGAGCAGATATTTCACAGCACAGACGCATGACATCATCGATCCGTGGAGCCATCCCTGCGCTGAGACACTGAACAGAGAGGACAGTCAACAATACTGAGGGATCGTCACTGAAACACCAGGAACACACACCTGTAAACCTTGATTAGATTAGAGGTAGACAAACCTTTACCCTTCAGTTGAAGCAGATTATTCACGTGGAGTATTCACACAGATTAAACAGGTTTTGGATATAGCATTTACCAAACCTAATCCAGTTGTTTGAAGAAAAAGTTCAAATCACATTTGAATTGAATCAGGAAGAAATCGTATCTTCAAACAGATATTTGATTGTTTCACATTCTCTACAGACTCTTTTATTGTCACATGGAGATGTCCTCAGGCCATGAATATAAAGTGAATCAGGTGAAACAGGCATATCAGTTCATGACATTTAGCCGCAGGAACAATTACCAAGAGCACTTTCAGTACAACCTGCAATGAAACTTCTATGTATTTATTTGTACTTAAAATAAAGTGTGTTATTTTGCAATCATGATGTCATGATAGATTTTGACAAAAAGCCCTTTACCAAGCATGGAACAAAACCTTTTCACATTGACCTTCAGTGGTGCAAACTATAGTGACAAATGTGCAATTAAACAAACAACTAAACACAGCTCTTAAGGCTTTTAGACAGATGGCCAGTTTGTAATTCAGCATTAGACATAGCCATTTTTAGCACATTACCATTACTGTAATTCCTAGATCAAAGGGATCAAGCTTGCCATTATGACTCCAAGATTTTTAAATCTTATTTTATTGAAGAATATGCTTTCAGATAAAGAAGACAGACCCTCTCCGTTAGGCTAACACACAGTGCACTTTTAGATCCCTGTAGATGCTATGACTTAAAGTCAGGATCTCTCAGAGTGAAAGTAGACAGATACTGTATTCGTCTCTCGAACTGGAAAAGGTGACAAAGGAAGAACAAAGCAAAGACACGTCAGAATACATTTGGTTTCACTTTTACTTTAAAATTCAAATTAGCCTCAACATTATAAAATAACAGCACTTGAATAATTAAATAACGTATATAAATATGTCCATGCATTTTACAACTGACTCCCAAAATCATATGATTTTTAAATCAATCTTACATTGTCTTACATTTATGTAGGGTAGTACTTAATCATCTATTACTTTCAGTAGTTAATTAACTTTAACAGTATGGGAACAACTGCAAACGTATACTGAACATTTGTAAAATATGACGAGCTGTAGGCCACGTGCTCTTAAAGGCTTGGTATTAATATCCATTATTCATTTAAAACAACCCGCTTTCTGACTGGAGTTTGGCTTGTTAGGGGTTTGTTATTGAAGTGTTTGTTAGCCGATTCACTGCTATGAATTAGTTCTATAAACTGACTTAATTAAAAAAAAAAGTGGGCACAATAAGCAATACGCTATTAAGTTGTTTTCTTAACATATAGAAAGACAGTAGATTAAATCAGAAACGGTTTAATTGTTGGTTTAATTGAAATTGAAGATTATCTTGTAGTGAGAAGGGACAGGAACGTGAATGGAGGTGGTGTCTGCATGTACATACATAAAGACACCAATTTCAAAAACCGTACTGACCTGCATCATGAAAATATTGAATCTGTGTGGGTTGAAATTCTTTTTGACAATGCTAAATCTGTAATAGTCGGGACAATCTATAGACCACCGGAACAGAGTGACTTTTATGATACATTAGATGGGTGTTTGGCTGATGTGGGGGATGTAGAGACAATTATTATTGGAGACTGGAACACGGATATGCAACGTAAAGACACGTCCGTCTTCAAGTCCTTCAGTAGGATTTGTGATCTGCACGGCTTCAGCCAGCTAATCACCCAACCCACCCGGGTATGTGAAACAACACAAACTACCATTGATCTCATTCTGACCTCTGACAGGTCCAGGATCTCCAGTAAAGGGGTTATAGCATGCGGTTTAAGTGATCATTATATGATATTCTGTACCCGCAAAAAGCTAAAACAAAAGGCCGGCTGTCACAAAACAGTCATATCTAGAGACCTCAAAAACTACTCTAGCGAGGCCTTTAACCTAGAACTGGAGAGCCTGGACTGGTCAGATGAGCTCAGTGGTACACAAGTTGAAGAAACATGGCTTGGTTTCAAAAACAAATTCTCTGCAATACTCAATGATTTGGCCCCCCTAAGAACAACCAGGGTAAAAAATCGCGCTGAGCCGTGGATGCACTCCGGCATACTGACCGCCATGAAAACCAGAGACAAAAAATGCTCTGAGTTTCATAAAAGTCAGTCAATGCTTTCCAAAAGCACGAGCAGTGAACTCCAGGCCCACGTGACTGAACTAAAAATTGAAAGAAACAGACTAAGAAATGACGTAAGCTCCATGATCAAAACTGCCAAAAAGAATTTCATCAATGACAAAACTGAGGAAAACAAAAATAAACCCCGTGAACTTTGGAAATTACTCAATAACCAGCTTGGCTGCAGTAAAAAACTCAAACGAGATTTTCAAACGTAAACATAAAGACAGATAACAGGCTCATCACAGACAAACTGGATGTGGCCAAGTACTTGAACATTTTTTTCACAAACATAGCCACAACTCTTGTAAATAAATTACCCTCCCACTCAGGGCTTTTTGGAGTAGATCACATCATGACCTACTACAAAAACCTAGGGGTACGCAAAGATGATTTCAGTCTAGCAAGGGTAACAACAGCAGAGGTACTCATTAAACTGAGCGCCCTCAAACCTAACAAGGCCACTGGCCACGACAATATCCCCTCCAAATTCCTCAGAGACACAGCAACCGCCATCTCACCAGTCATAGCTCACATAATTAACCTCTCCATAAAACAGGGAAAAGTACCCAAAGACTTCAAAATTGCAAGAGTAACCCCCCTGCACAAAAAGGGCAGCAAATTGGACCCAGGCAACTACCGCCCTGTTTCTATACTTACCTCCATCTCGAAAGTCATGGAAAAAATAGTATATGAACAGGTCGAAAAGTACCTCGCAGAAAAGAAACTAATCTATGAATTTCAATCTGGTTTTAGAACATCCCACTCCACTGACACATGCCTTCTTTATTTGAACGACCACATCAAACAAGAGGTGGACGAGGGTAAATACTGCGGCATGGTGATGCTGGACCTACAAAAGGCTTTCGACACTGTCAATCACCCCATTCTGATTGACAAGCTAAAAGCAATTGGTTTTGATAAACTATCGGTGAGCTGGATGCAATCCTACCTGGAGGGGAGAGAACAGATGGTGGAGGTAAACGGTACTCTGTCCCCCCCCCCTCCCAGTGAGCTGTGGTGTTCCACAAGGAAGCATATTAGGTCCGTTACTGTTCCTAATTTATGCAAATGACATGTCATCAGCATGTGACTGCAACTTGTTCCTGTTCGCGGACGACTCAGCCCTGCTGGTCTCTGACAGGAGCAGATTGCAGGTTGAAAAAACCCTCAGCTCCGAGCTCGGCAGAATCTGCACCTGGCTCGCCGATAATAAATTATCATTACACCTGGGTAAAACAGAGTCCATTCTCTTCGGTTCGAAACATAATCTCAGCAAATCCGACGACTTCTCAGTTGCAGTGGGTGACATTATTGTCACAAGTAAGAAGGAAATTACATACCTAGGATCTATTCTTGAGGCAAACCTCTCCTGTGACAAAATGGCATCCAATGTAATAAAAAAAGTCAATCAAAGAACTAGATTCCTATACCGGATCTCCTCTCTGGTAAACAAAAACACCCTGAAAACTCTGGCAGGAGCACTCATTCAAGGGTACTATGACTATGCTTGCACGTCATGGTACCATAGCACCTCCAAGGCGCTAAAAATAAAACTTCAAACATCGCAAAATAAACTGGTCAGACTACTGCTTGACCTTTCATCTAGAACCCACCTCACCTCTGCCCACTTTGACAACCTAGGATGGCTTAGAGTAGACGACAGAGTACAGCTACTTGCAATGGGCCTGGTCTACAAGATCCACTACACCTCTATGGTACCCATGTACATGTCAAAATTCTTCCCAAAGGTCAAGGAATACCATGATCATAACACCAGAGGGAGCTCCACAAATCATGTAAAACCCAGATTTGGCACAAAAAAAGGGGAATACACGTTTCGCAATTATGCCACATCAAGGTGGAACGCTCTTCCCACAACTGTAAAGGAAAGTAAAACTATACTTACCTTCAAAACCTCTCTTAAAGAGCACCTTCGGGGGAAAGCATTGCAAAACTGGCCCCGGTAATGGTACAAATCTCAACCTGTCGTACAATGGACAGCTTCCCCCCCCCCATCTATGTATATACTCGCATTTTAGACTCTGTTACTAACTGTATATCTGTAGACTTGGTATGTCTTAAATGTCCGGTTAGGATGTATTAGAACGAAATCTAAAATGAAAATTGTAAATAAGCCATCTGTATGTAAAAAACCACCTGTATGTAAATTGTAAATAAGCCATCTGTATGTCAAATATGTCTTATATGTCTTAAATGATATGATGAATTGGAAATGGGGGACCCTGATGTAAACAAGACGAAAGTCTTTCTCTGGTCTGCATCCCCTTAACAATTGTATGTTTTGAGCTGTACTGTACTGTACCCAATATACAAGCTGTTAATAAACTTTTCAATCAATCAATCAATCAATTAATACCAGTACAACATAAACCCGCGTTTCGTTTCTATTTTATAACCGAACAAAATAAGAGTCCAAAGACCATGGGATTCATTTCTGAGTCTATATAAAGCACAGAAAATAGATAGAACACAGCTGTCATCAACTTTGTATCAATAATTATCTAATTGTTGTATTTACCTTCAATCCTGTCCCGGATAAATACAGGCTTTAGAAGTAGAAGTTTTTACTCTTCGCGTGCAGTCGGACTCGGCGCATACTCTCTGCGATCCACTTCCTGCTTTCAGACAATCAGAGAGTAAATAACAGCTAATCGAGACAAGACAGATATTTTCAACCGTTTATTTGCTGTAACCATAGACTGTATATATAAAGGCTGTAACTCTATAAATAATAAATATATATCGCTGAAACTTGAAACATGTTGTGTCTATAATGATAGAGTACTTCCTTGCTCACTTAAAAAAAAGTCTAAATTAGTTTAAAAAAGGAAAGTCAAGACTTTAATTGTTCAGCTCGGACTGGGTTCATCTATTTTTTTATTTGGAGATACATGGGAATCAAAACCCAAATGCCATTAAAACGTGATAGCTGCTGGCATTCTGTCCTCACCAAGTCTCTGTCGGAGTGTTTTCTTCTTTAACTTTAGACGTCACTTCGGTAAAAACCATAAACTGTATATATAAAGGTAAAAACAGTTTGACTTAAAATAACAACATCTTGCACATGCGCACTAAACAAAACATTGGAGTGGTGATTAGTGTGGGAACTATCTTGAACAGTCTTGAACATAAAGAGGACAGCGTCTCACCAAAACTTGAACAAGTAAATAATCTAGCCTTCAGGCTTGCATAGCCAGACCTATCTCCAAAAGACCTATCTCCAAAACTCTACAAGATAAATTAACTCTGGTAGCTCTGTCCGTTACGTTCGCCATTTTAACCAGTTTTCACAGAATAATATTCTTGTTTTGCTTTTCACGTGCAGCTGCTGCCTAAAGTTAGCACGAGCGGAGTTACGGGGATGGTTGTAACAGCAGAGCACACCAGCACGGGCCTTATTTTTACAGCATAACGGGGACTTTTTTTCGTATATTATGTTGTTTGCAAACTCATTTACTGTTCCCTTCTGATAGCTTGAGAACTGTGTAAACGCCAATGTGGATAAATATGAAAGACAAAACGCAATATTTCAGTCCACTACATAACTTGTTGTCACATCAGTGGGTTGTTTTGTGGACATGTGACGCAGTGACTGACGTACAACTGTCCCGCCTCAGAGGGCGCGGCTTGGTGACGTTTCAGGACACAGGGAGGACTCTCCGAAAAACAACTTTGAGATCAAAACAATCTCTGAAGAACAAGCAACACAGAAGGATCCTTTGGGTATAACGGCCACACCCGAGGAAAAACATTTATTTTATTTAATCAGGTGAGTCATGATGTAGATGCAGCACGGTAAAAATACTGGCCTGTTTTAATCTTTGGATGTAATTTGTCTTTTGTTCTCGAAGTGCAATCCTCTGGGCAGTGATATGTCAAATCCACCCAATGCTATTATTATGATAAATAAAACTGCGTCGATGTGCAATCAGCTGTTCGTCCTGTAGATATCAGGTTATAATAGACCGGCCAGACAGGGATTATGTGTGTGTTTATAGGGAGGGGTCTGGTGACATTAGATTCCGGGCAAACACTGAAGGAAGGCATCCAGACACTGACACGGGTAAACACGGGTCTGTTTATGGAACTCTGTTGGTCTTGAACGATGATAGCAGACATGTATTAATACTTGTGATATAATGGTGTAATAATGTAGCCAGTATGCATTTCATATATTCCTGTGATTATACTTTCAACAGATAAGGAAATGTTGATGTCGGCATTTTATGCGATCAGCTGTCATAAGTAAATATTGGATAAATAGGATGAGATCATAGTAACATAATACTTTGACAACTTTTGCTCATTATTTGCTCAAATAATAATGTTAAGATTGTTTTTTGTATATTTTAAGTGTGTGTTTTTAATTATATTTCATGAATTGTAGCCCGTATATGAAGAGTGTCTTTGAGTACCTTAAAAACATATTTTTAAATAAATGTATTATTATTTGTTATTTAATAAGCATGATTTATCTTCCCTAAGAAGGACATGGCGACCTCCACCAGGGGACTTTATTAACAAACATGCAGTGTATATATCTTTCACATAACACTAGAATTAATGTAAAACAGGAGAAACCCAAAAGTATTTTTGATTTCTTTTATTTTACGTAGTGTTTTACCTTGAAAATCGCTTTTTAAATCAAATGTATTGTTATTATTTTCCTTATTTAATAAGCCTTATTTATGTTGCCTAAGAAGGACAGGGGACTTATAAACAAACATGCAGTGTACACACTTCCATAATGTTACAGGTTCATTGTTTAGGACAAAAGGTCAGCCAGCTGCGGTTTTAGGTCACGCCTACAACTTTTCTTCATGGGAGAAAAGTTGTTGTTCTTTAAAGCAGTGTCGCAGATTATATAATATTTTTGAAATCAGTCAAATTCTAGCGTCTTGTATCATCATGGTCCCTCAACATCTTAGGCTCGTGAGTCTGCGTCATGAAGCGACCTAACAGCTCAGGGCTCAGGTTCCTGTGTTGGCGCAATGGAAACAGTTGTTGATGCAGAGCAGGGGTTAGGTGATCACTGGAGAAGATCTGTGGGGTTTTATTAGCACAGCCTCAACGGGGAGCCCCCTGCTCTGCTCATGTGGAAATATATCCAGGCAGAGAGGAGGTTCAGGTGGAAGAGGATTAAAGGAATACTTCACCCACAAAATCACAATTTGGGGTATCAATTACCCTCGCTGTTTTACCTTGAATTATTCTTGCATGAGAACAAAGAACCCAAAAACAAATAGTTCACAAACATGAGATACTTTGATATAGTTTAGCTGTATCATTAAAGACATCTACATTGTTTCTTTTTTTTCCGTTCACCATACAGACATTTATTAGACCTTTTTTGTCCAGGAACCTTTGAGTGAGTAATTAATATACAAATAGTTATTTATTGTTTTGTATTCCTGTAAAATCTGCTAATCTTTAACATCGTGTCCCTAAATAAATATTTGTATTCTATTTTTAATTTTTTAAGTGGACCTTCTGCTATAACTTCATAGGTTAATAAAAACCTCTGCTTTGTATTGTATTTTTATTTTTATTGCAATTTTTTTTATATATTTTTTATGTTTTATTTATTTAATTCTGATTGAGGATTGTGAACTCAGAACTCACTATCACATCCAATGTCCCCAGCTGCCAAAACCCTTCCAAAAAGAATTCACAGTGTGTTTTGTGCATTGCTTGATATTCTCACTATTGTTAATTCCCAGATAGCACCTGAGTCTGAAGATGTTCGGAAAGCTTCTCTCTCAGCTGCTCTGGAACGCTGGGGAGGATTTTGAGGCAACGGACTCTTATGAGGAGCTGATGGAGAGTGAGGAGGGAGGATGGATCATCGTTAATCTGCCAGGTAACAAATAAACCCTTCAGAGTCTGTGGTATTCACTTCTATATCATCCACTCAGTTTGGGCGCAGTGTGTTCTGGGATGTAAAGAGAAGATGTCCTCATTGCAGAGAACGAGCCCCTGTCGGCCCTGTCGGCGGGCCCCCTGGAGAACCTGCTGATCGAGCACCCCAGCATGTCCGTGTACCAAATGAGATGCATGAGCGGAGAGGAGGAGGTTGGCTCTGACGAAGAGGAAGAGGACACCTCCAGGTTAGTCTTCATTCAGACACACTCGTCTTACACTTTCACTGAAACCTGTGAAAGTCCCAAAAGTGTGTTGTGTTTTCATTTTAAGAATCAAGGCTTGATTACAGAAGCTAACAATGTGTACAATGTTTCAAGAGCTCCTTTAACTTGCATTAGTCAAATACAGAAGATTAATTAGCAGCATTTGTGGAAGTAAATGACCTTAAGGTTTTTATATGTGTAGTGGTAGAAGGAGCATTCTGCGGCTTTATTTCATCAGTGTAAGTACTGCACTGTTAAAATACTCCATTATAAGTTCAATCAAATGTACTTTAATGTACAATCAAATGTACTTTATCAAAAGTAGTCATTGTGTATTGCATTCATTGTAATATTAGTATATATTGTTATAAATGATTGATTATGCTGATTCTTTTTTAGGTATGGTTTTCTGTTGTAGTTAGTCGATATAGAACTATTAACCAAATCAAAGTATAAGTGTGCAACCCTTCTAATCGATAGATTTATGATCAATAGATTTATGATTAGAAAATTATAAAAGTAGGGTAGACATGTGGAGATTATCCGACTGAACAAAACGTGACCCGTCTCTTAAATGTGTGCCAACCACAGACCTTATTTCCAGCTATTTTCCAAAATCCTATGGAGAAATTGCATTGCTTTTTTGTCGAAGGAACCCATGCGCAGCTTACTTCCGGGTTTTAGGATGCGTCACTGTGGCACTCTATATCGATTTTGATGTTTATTAGGATGCTGGTTAACGTAACATTCCTGTGAAGGCTCGATCTCAAGAACAAATGTAGGGATTTTATTCAAATTTTGGAACAAACATCCACGTTGACTAAGTGATGAACAAAATGGATTTTGGTTGATGAAGCTCAAAGTCACTCAAACTGAACATTTTCCCACCAATGTCTAACAGTATATAGATGACGTCGCAGATATGCATGTAAACTGCAACTTGACTGGTTACTGGTGGCATACAACCGCAAGACGTTCTAGTTTCACATAACATCTTAAATAAGATACTTAAAACTATGACAAATATTTAGTGAAATAAAAGTTAACATTTTTACTACTAGTGAAAAGAAGTTTAAAGTACCACACAATGGAAATACTTAAGAACAAGTGTTTCAAAACTATAATTGGGTAAATTACTTGAGTAAATTGATATATTGCAGTCTCAAGATTAATCTAAAACTATCCTCCTAAGAACTGTCATTCTCCTACAATATACAACATGTATATTACAATATAAACAGTGTTGTATTAGTATTAATAAGATATGAACACTGGATTGCACAGTTAAAGAGAGTTTTAGCTGGTGAATTAAGTTCAGTACCCGTCTATTGAAGCTCTTGGGGAGAAGCGAAACAGTCTGCTGGCCACAGGCAGGAGGAACTTCCCGTGGTGCGTCTTAGTATCCTATCAGTGAACCTACCTACTACTAACCTATCATCTAATATGCCATCAACACATGCTCTAACCCTCCCCTGTGTGTTTGCAGGCCGGTGGTGGTGAGGCGGCACATCTCCTGGCGCCTGGCTGCCTGGGGGGTCCCTCTGCCCGGCCACCTCCAGCTGCTGGCTGTGCAGAGGGCCGGCGCCCAGGCTGAGAGGAAGAAGCTGAGCCGCGGAGGCCTCCACAGGCAGAACCTCGCCAAGATGCGCTTCTCCCCCACAGAGAAGCGCTACGGACACTTCAAGCAGCCCTGCCAGCGCCTTTGCAACAACTAAACAGGAAAGGGGGGGGGGGGGGCTTCAAGGTGCCTCCACCACAGCCCAGTTGTGCAGCACAGTGCCTTGACTCTGACTTACTCAGGTTTTCAAACCATTGTTTCACCTCACACAGATAATTTAGCATCAAAGCAAAGCACAATCAGATTCACCACTTCCTGTGCAGTTTGATTTAAATGTCATTATCGGCAACCTGCACTGCAGCTGAAACCACTGAGAACAATCATTCTTGAACTCCTGATATCATGAATAACAGTCGGTCCCTCAGGTTGGAGAGCATTAGTTTAGATTCCATAGATATAACCAGAGGTAGGGCTTTTAGGAAGTGTGTGTGTGTGTGTGTGTGTGTGTGTGTGTGTGTGTGTGTGTGTGTGTGTGTGTGATAAAGGTTTTGTAACTGAGCAAGGATTCACATATGAACACTTCAAACCTGTAGAGTGATTTTTAATGCAATATCTACGATGCCGTTGGATTATTATGGCAGTTTGAATGTTTTTTCTTGGTTTTATTCAGTGTGTATTATTTCATGTGCCTTAGTTTTAGATGTTCTTGTAACAAGTGTTTTAAAGCTCGTACCATGCCACGGTGAGCTGTACAGTAATTATGTCGGGTGAAAACCCCCGGGAATTACAAAACCATTGTTTGTGTTTTGATTACCCACTATTTTCATATCACACATTGTTCATTTTAGACGAGTGTAAATACAGTCGAATATTATGTTTTTCTATGAGTGTATTTATAAAATGTACAAAAAAATGAAAGTCTTGTTTTCTTAAGCTGGTGTCTGAAGGTCTTTAATGTGGCAGCGGACACAAGACAAACACCTTCTCTCTTATTGTCGAAGCTCACGTATCTTTCCCATGAACCTCTTCACTCGCTCCGGGTCGACGGCGTTGGCCCAGTGGCCCCCCTCCTTGAAATGAGAACCGATGATCATCCCATTTGCACCAATGTAGCTTTCAATGTTGTCATAGGTTACCCCAGAACCAATCAGCACTGGGATCCTCACAGACTTGGAAACCTCTGCAAAAAGCAAAGAAACATCTGAACAGGGGTAACTACTCCAACTCTAAGAAATGCACATATTTAATGATACACTTGAAAAAATAAAGAAAACAATAAATGATGACTTATGGATCTTTTAAAGGGATAGTTGTTTTGAATTGAGCTTATGTAAGGTAGGTATCCATATTAAGTGTATCCTGAAGATGTTTTTTATGCTATCTTCAAATCCACCAGATTTTATGAATCTTTTTGAAAAAATGGTTACTTTACCTGTGTTTACCTGTGAGTCGCTAGCCTACAATAACACAGACAAACAAACTGGTCAAAGTAGCCTTAGACCAGCAACCCTCAGGTTCTGTTAAGTACAATCACATTTTTTTTTAATGGAGTTTAGTGGCTTTTGCAAGAGCACATTAGAGACAAATAACAGCTTTAGTTTCCCGTCAGAAAGGGCTGTCTCCATGCAAGTTACAGAGGTGAAAATAATTTGAATATAACATACTCTTTACCCATTTATTTTTTAAGGGTGGGCCTCTTTTTTCTTTTGATGGATAAAAGCAGTACATTGCTTTGCTCTGCAAACTACGGGTGTGCTGACGCAATTTACTGCAGATAATACACCGACTACAAACAAGTACCTAAAATAACCCCACTTCAAAACATCCAAACTATTTCTTCAAAGCATACAACAACTTGATTTCCTTTCCTCACCATCACATGCACATGGATGCATCTCAAATGTATTCTATTAAAATCCACACAAACAGTTACTGTCAAATGTGGTAATCTGAGATTATTTATTATGTCGATGCAGCATGCTATTTTTTCAGATCTGGATCCTATCCATATATGATAATGTTAATGAATGTCAGTTGCCATGGCGAGAGGAGGCTGTGGCACACCCAGGGAACTTTGGACACTTGCATGTGAGCTCCAGTATCATTCTGTCTGACCCTTGTCTGCGTGCTTGTGGTCCCGAGATAGAGCGTGCATGTGTGTGTGAGGGGAAAAGATGGGGTGAGTGTGTGCATGGAACCAATGCTGTGTGTGTGTTAGGCTTAGAGTGTTTAGAGTCGTGTTAGAGACTAAAATAGCAGGCCTGGTATCGCTAATATAAGGACATGGTCCAGATTTACAACCCTGTGACTCTCTGCAGATACAAACGGCAGGGCCTTCAGCTCCCCGTGGTCACTGATTAAGCCACTGATGGAAGCAGTATTCAAATTCTAAATATATATGGTGAACATGTTAACTATAAATATCTAAATGACTCATCCCCAGTTGTTTTGTATTTATAAAAATATGTTTAAATCTGCATATGTGGCATTTTCTTATTATACAGTCGTTTGCACGCTTCCTCCGCATGTAACTGTATCCACCAAACAGCATATCAGATTGGCAGTGAGTCACCTACCTGCCAGTAATCCTTGTTCTGAAGCTATATTAGTAAAAGGTCAGCGTGAGTTGGGTATCACTCCAGGACACTTACAAAATGAGTTTGATACTAAGAACATATTTTCATAGACTTTGACCATAGACTGTTTATATATAAAGGGCTTTACTAAAGGTGAGGGTGACCTCTGCTGGACGGATGAGGCAATGATTAAAAATGACAACATTACGGTCGACAGCACAAAATGGTTATAATATATGGTGGAGAATATCTGAGAAAGTAACTAAGTGCGATTATTTTGACTGACACTGCGGTTGAGATATGATTCACTATATTTGAAGGATTGATCATTTTTGTATAGTTTTTCTGTACCAAACAATTTTGTTATTTCTTAAGTCTGGGGAATGTGATTTTTAGGCCGGGATATCTCTGCTGCTCCACAAAACTTTATTCAAAATGGTATTTGAACACACGCATTACGACACAATTTTGATTAACTGTGCAGCCCAAGGATAGTATTTCTCAAATCTGGGGAGTTACTGCATTTAACATCAAGTAGACTCAATTATGCATTGACAAGATTAATGTCAAATCAATCCAATGGATGTTGCTAACAGATTGTGTTTCAGCCCTGTGTTGTTAACTGATAGGATGATTAGGTGCTAGGCAGTGCCTGATAAAGCGTTGATGTGCTCCTGGCAGTCTGGAGGGTGCGGTACCTCTGAGCTCCCGCGGGTCAGCCTGCTGTCCTGTAGCTGCTCCTGTGATGATGAGTCCGTCTGAGAGGAAGAACTCTGCTGCATGTGCCGTCTCTTCAATGCTCACGTCTGAGGTCAGGGCATGGGAGCTGGGGAAACAAACACACAGTGTACATACACAAGCAGGACATGGCCGAGTAAAACTGGCTGGAGATAAAACTTTGACTGGGAAGACCATAGTTACATGAATTCCATTACACTGTAAAACGTTCTTTATAGAACAACATAGAACAGGGTGTCAATTTACCAAACAGTGATATTGCTTCATACTTCCAGACATTTCAAAATTCAAAGTGGCTCCTTAGGAGCATCATTGATGATGGGCTATTAGACAAAGGTTACTGAGGCACGGGGGTTATTCTGGTCTGGGCCTGTATCTATCGTCTGTATCTATCAACTGTAACTTAAGCTACACTATTTGCAGCAAAGTGTAGGAGTAATCGATAACTTACATCTGCCTCATTCTCCACTCTTTAACAAAGAATCCTATATATACTTATATAGAATTCTAAATAAGCAAATTATACATATTGTATTACCAAAATAATTCATATACATTACAAGAAGTATATCATTTGACTATTTTAATATATTTTCACCCTTTCTTGCTATTGCTTGTTTTTTGTTGATGAGGGGAATTCAATTGTATAAACCTGCAGCTTCTTGACCTCTCCTGGTATATTTTTGATATTTCTATAGATCTTTTTTTTTAATAAATAGATAAAAAATTAGTGACATGTTATCCTGTACAAGTCTTAATGGCTTTCCCTTTTTTAATTAGTTTATTTTTGATAAATATTTAGAAAATATACGTAAGAAAAACCTAAACCCTGCCAGACCTAATGACAACCAATGGAACGCACATTTTTCAAGGCTACTAACAAACTGAAACACCTCAAGTCTCCAGATCTAATATTTATCCATCCAGTCACTATGAATCCTCTTTTCTAACAGGGGGGCTGGTTAGTAGTTGGTCTTGCCCTTGCCTATTATTTCAGCACACTCAGAGAAATGTTTAAGTAAACCACTAAAGTTGTTGCAGCTCTTTTTTGCATCTAAGCGGCACTTATGGTTCTAGTTACTAATAAAAATGTAGAGATGGGGATCTCACCTGTGCTTCTTCTTGATGTCGGTAAAGATCTGCACATGCTCAGCTCCGATCTGTTTGCGGTACCTCAGTAAGTCCCCGGCGCAGGCGTTCAGGAGTCCTTCATCAGCCACGTGGGAAAAGACGAAACCCTCGGCCCTGATGAAGTCCAGACCTGTGAACATAACAAGCAGCCTCTGTGTCAGATACAGGTTCCTTTTAACCAGAGGTTCAGAAATCAAGTACATTTACTCAAGTACTGTACTTAAGTACAGTTTGGTCTGCTGCATATTACTTGAGTATTTCCATTTCATACTACTTCTACTTTCCCCTAATCATTTGTATGATAGTTTTAGTCACTTTGAAAATACATATTCAGATAAACTATACTAAATATAATCAACATATAATTGATCATGTGTTATATAGACTATATGGATCCCTTGGGGAAATTCACAAGCTATAAGGCAGTATATATTATAAAATGATAAGAATAAAATTGTCCGTCTTGATTAATCAGTAATGTTTTTTGTACTTTAATTATATTTTCATGCTGATACTTTTAATACTTTACCACGAGTACTGTGGTATTCCTACTTTTATTGTTTTAAATGTTCTTACATAAAACACTAAAGGACAAACACACAGCATCTTATTTGACTGATAAACACACCTTAAATCATGAAACCCGACCAGACCGTAATGAGCTGATGTTAGTCAGAAAATCAGTTTACAGTTGATCTGATACATGATTGATATACCTATGTTCTAAACACTTTTACTGCAGATGGTTATGGCATTATATACACAGCACAACGATCATTCAACGATGTAAAGACTGAACCTG